AAATTGTGTAATTTACAGGAAAGTCCCATCTTTACATAAAGTAATAAAACAAATAGAAAGATCTTTTTTTATTTTAGTTTGTATGAACTTATCAAAAATACACCATTTATGACTTTATTATCTCCTTTTCGGGATTATTTATGAGAGTAACGATTTTAACTTACGAGGACAATTCAAATTACAATATAATCATATTTGGTTTAAGATGTTAGATTGAGTTAGGTATAGTTATTTTCATATAGTTTTTTTTTTTTCTCTATAAAACTTGTACAATTTTGAAGAAAAAAAAATAGAATGCAAAATGACTTTGAAATACAGACTTCTTGGGTTTCACTTTGCTTTCCTCTCAAAAATTAAAGAAAATGAAGCAATCTTAAAAGCTTAGATTTCTGGATCTGGAAGGCAGCGTCTTAAGAAAAAAAAAGTGTCTTTAAAATATATTCTTAAAAATTATCAAGGAAATGCGAATGGATATTTTTAAGGATTGAATTTTCTCAATTTACATCAGTTTTTTTTTTTTTTCATTTGATTAGCACTCCTCTAAATCCCAGTTACTAGTATTTGAATAAATGAAATATGAGTGAATTCAAAATTTAGAACTGCATTTAATTAAAAAAAAAATGCTCGTTTTTATTTATTTGTTTTTAAATATGAAATACTGAATTCTAAAAGATTACATGCCAGGCATCTTTTACTAGTAGAAGTACTAGCTGAGGTAAAACACTAGTGAATTTAAAAAAAAAAATACAAACCTTTATTACGGCTTCAGCGGTGAATTCTTCTGTCGTTTCCCTCCCTAAATGAAATTCCCCTGGATAGGGACCGGCGACACATAGCGGGGGTATGACTGACCCTGCCACCACCCTCACCCTCGGCGGATTCACGGGCGCGTGGAAGGAGGACATGGTTTGACTAGAACTATTTACTGATTGATCCATTAATTGACTATAGTGATGTGTTTTATTCATAACTTTACCAATTTGCTAAATGAAATAGAAGAGTTAGTGTTTGGGGCTTTTATAGAAATTGACATCGAAGGGACAGTCCTGAGAAAACCGCACCAAGTAACAGCTGCTTCTGAGGCAGGCGAGTTCCTATGACAATTATTTGGTTTCTATGACAATATCAAACTTTCTCCTTCAACGAGGAGCGCAGAAAGCCAAAGCAACGGCAGCGCATGCGCCTCGAGTCATTTATTACAATAAACCTAATTGATATTAAAATTCATTGGCATAAAACAGATCAATCTGTGATGAAGGGAGGTATTCTGAATAGTTTTGGTCAAACGTTTTGAGCGGCATTAAAATTGAACAGTTACCATAACGTTGTGTCTGATTACGAACGACGATAATTTGGCGCCCTTTGGTTCAGGCACTCCACGACTGTGACACGGGATTAACCATCGCGTACAGATTTGATAAATCCCTATTATCCACTAATAACATTAAGAGTCAATATAATTTTGACATGTTAAATTATGGGCATTTAATTAAGATTAAATTGATATAAAATCCTTAAAAAATACTAACTCGTGTACATAGATATTTTGAAATTAACATACGCATGTAGCAATATAAGAACAAGCTATTTATAATTAGACTTAATAGATTTATTTGTCGAGGGATCGAAACATAAAAAAATAATTTTACATGAGGGACCATAAAAACTTTTCAATTTTTACAGAGTCTACATTTAATCAACTGGGTTTTTAATAAAATTTGAAATGACTTTGTGTCTTCAATCCATGGAAATGACTTAAATAAATACCAGTCAGGATTTTTGCAGCAACAATTAAAACAGGAATATTCTTATATACATGAGGTTAACAGATCAACAACAGGGGGAACATACAAATGAAGGGCCCCCTCCTTCTGGGCTCGTGTGTCGGTGGGAACAAACCTGCTGATGTGCGTCGGTCCCTCCGTTTTACTTGACGACCGGGGGTACCATCCTTCTCTCATTTCAGCCATGTTCGCTTTCGTTTTATATGTTGTACCATTACGCGACATTGTCCAAAACCCAGCTACTTGTCTGGAAGCCGTACTCTTTTGTGGACACACGCGATGTCGCGCGCCCGCCGCGTGCCGATATCGTCTGCCGAACGCTCGCCGGTTTCTCTTTTGGTCGTGTTCTGTATATCTTTTGATGTTATCTTTTCATTTTCAATTTGATTTCAATAACAATAAAGACCTGTTTAGCATTTAATGTTTTGCATGTTCAATTAATCAAAACCAACTGCACAGGAATTAAACATGTGTTTAAAGAAGGCATTTTCCCACATGTTTTCCTTTTTTTCTTAGATGACAGATATGTATTTAGTTACGAGTACTTAACAGTCAATGTGATCAAGTTGTGAAACAATTATATGTTTTGATGTCCTCCACTTGCAACAGTACGTACTATATGACATTTCAGGCTATATTCAGTGTATGGAAAGCCCACCTTTGAATGAAGTTTAAATTCAATTTTTTCTCAAGGTCATCTAAATGGTACGGGGTACAAAAACACACATTACTGTGAGAAGAACACTAATTAGAGGATGAAGGATTTGTGGAAAAAACGTCTAATGAGATGCTGATTAGTTGCTGAGCAAGGAAATAAAAAACATTTTAAAATAAATTTTAAATAGATAAGAAATGTCTGCAGAATGTCTGCAGAAGCAAACGTGTTAAACTAATCCTTCCACAATTTATTTTTATTTGAAAATGAAATTTGGTGATGATGTTTATAGCAACAGATTTTATTTCTGAATAAAGAAAATTTGGCAGCACATTATGTACAATTATTTTTTTTAAATTAAAGATCAAATAACTATATATATATATATATATATATATATATATATATATATATATATATATATATATATATATATATATATATATATATATATATATATATATATGTATGTATATATATATATATATACGTATTGTTATGTTTCAGTTCTTGCAATAAAACTCAACGTCGATCGATTAAATCTTGGTTTGATGTTGATTTTCCTGAACACAAGCTGTACACTATGGGTATAAGAAATCCAATTTTATATTTGCCTTTCTGATCTTACTTTAATACATGACATCTACAAACGCCGGACAATCCAGAATTAATTAAGCTTATTGACCAAACAAATACAGTAGTTGGGTAATTCAGTGGTCAGCTTGATACATGCCTGACATTTTTATTTACAGGTTCGTTTACACATGAAGGATGTATCGGCTTGAAGTTAACGTAAACAATGGCGGAGACATTGATTCTCCCTGCGGGTAAATAGGATTAGGTGACGAATGGTGACGAAGGGGCACCCGGCGTCCACCAACGAACAGACAAAACTTTGTGTGGTCACAATGGACAATTGGTTTTACTGTCTAACGGATAGCGGCTGGTACACATCAAAGGACAACCTCAATGTTTTACAGTTCAGATTCATTAAAGAAAATTCCACCATTCAGTCTCAGAAAAGATGTTCCACGTGAGAAAACTGAAGTCCTTGAATAGCAGTTTTTCCATGTCTGATACATTCAGAATTAAACGTCGATAGATTTAAATGGAATAAAGAAAGGAAATGAGGATTTACAAGTTTAGAGTCTACTTCCGAAGAAGTTTTACTATGAAAAGTTTAAGAAATTACAATCTGTTTATTAGAAAGAATGGGGGCGTACAAGGTGAGGATAATCCCCCGCTCTGAGACAATATGTTTCATAATTAATAATTTTTCAAAGTTCGATCATGGAAAAAATTTATTTTTCAAAAATTATGTTGTCAGTAATGTCAGATGAAAGGGACAAAATTTTTGAAAAAAAAAAAAATTCTATGAATTTTTAGAATAGAAAAATATCTTTTCTCAGAGTAGGGGATTGCCTCCCCTTGTACACCTCCATTTTTATTGAAATATCATGTCGAAATTATTTTGATGAAATGTCACACCACATTTTTTTTTCTTACATTTATTATACATACAGTAATACTATTTCAGCAATGTATACAAGTCTATCACACATATAGATGAAGTTGTCCCATCATAGACATAGATGTCTCTGGTCACATGATCAAGAATTTATTGTGAAGTCATAATTGGTTACTGTATTAACACATTTCCCTGTGACGTTATGAATGGTCTGCATTTCAACTTCCACCTTTTTGTTTTGAAAAATAAAATGTTTTCGGGGATCAAGATTAAAGATGCACAATTTTTTCTTACAAATCAGTCAAAACTGCAAAAACAAGATTTCAAAATTTCTTTTGGGACATATGCTGAAGATACGGGTTGTTGAATGATAAAATCATCATGGAATTTGATCGTATGACAACCTGAATTTATATACAATAAATAATACTTTAGATTGTTCTGTAAAAATTTCCAATTTTGAATATTTAGTATGTAATATTAGGGGAAAAAAAGATTTGTTATATCATTCACAGGCCGTAGGAATCCGCGTTGGGGGTTGAGGGTTACATTACAATAGAGAACATAGCTAATTAACAGTCGTCCCCTCTCAATTACTCTCTCTCTATATATATATATATTATATAAATGGAAAAACAAGCCTATTTACGGTTGTCCCCTCTTAAAGATAGCATCTGATCACCTTTATTTTTCTGCTTGTCAAAAATTTCTATTAAGCTGCCCCCCCCCCCCATTAAAAAAAAGTAAATTGATTCCTAAGTGCCCGACTCCAAAGAAGTAAAACATACACTGCGACACCCCAGTCTAAGTAGTACAAGTGTATATAATTATATGCATCGGAAGCAATTGAAAGTGTGTGTTGTGTGTGTGTGTGTGGGGGGGGGGGGGGTGAAGGGGGGGCTAAACCAACAAAAAAGGTCAGCCCCAATTTTCAATGCCTTTATTACGTCCATCTTTGCAAAAATGGGGGGGGGGCTAAGTCCCCCCCCCCCCCCCGGTTCTGAACATATTTTCAATCTGAATGATTTCCATTTGGATTTGCCTGAAAGCGACGGTGAAATCTATTCTTTAATAAAACTCACAAACATCACTATATATTTTAAATCTTTAATTTTGAAACAACAGAAAGAATTGTAAATATTCTTCTATTAATGGATTCATAGAAAACCTTTTTTTCATTAATGGCAAAACTTAGCTAAATATCATATATAAATTTGTTTACTCAAGAAAACATGTTTAACAAAACAAATCATAAATAGAAGATACACAGCAGGCAACAAACTGTGTGAAAAATAACAATCTCCTTCAAGTTAATCTTCACCCCAGGAAAAAAAAAAATCCAAAAGCATTATTTAGAAATCCTTTCCACACAGCTGTTTCTGTTGAGCAGTTCTATTTAGCCAAATTAATAACTAGTATACTTCAATATATACATTTTGATCACAGACAATATGAACTGGAGCAACCATTATTTCAAAGATAAACAATGAGATGTATTTTGAGGACACTGTCCATTTCAATTTTTTAAGTAAAAATCTGCTGTCAATAATATCATTTCTCTCCTTGTGCTTAGCACACAGTGTCTAATTTGGTAAAGTTTGTGTAGTGGATCCCTTCCAGTAATTATTTTATTTTGGTGGTCCTGATTGCTGAGATAATGACTGCTCCTCCTGAAGATCCACATTCTACTCGTCCCCACCCCCAGTTTCCTCCCCGCCCTCTGTGTTTCCTGATGGCTCCTCTTTCTTCTCCGGTTCTTGAGTTTCCTCCTTCTTTTCACCCTGCAATCAACAAACAATTATCATAGGTAAATCCAAATTTATGGTGGTGAAACTAGACATTGTATGTACAATCTATCACAACCTTAACTATTATTAGATCATAATTGAAAAAATATAAAATTATTATTCAATGCCATCACTACACTGAGCAGGCTGCATCTGAAGACTGTATTTTATTAAAGCATTTCACTCAACTTTGTCACAGAACTAAATCTAGGAATTCAAATTTTGTCATGGGTTGAAAACTTTACTGTCAAAGAACAAAATCTTAAATGTCAAAGTGTTAGACATTGTCAGGAGGCTGAAAATTTTGTTACAGAGCTTAGAACTTTGTCAAGAAAGCTTAAATCTTTGTTATCAAGCCAAAAGTCTCTCTCAAGTTTGAGAACAGTTAATTTTCTTCCAAATCTTTTGAACACTTTTTCTGAAACATCACATGGTTGTCATTGCTTGAAGTTGAAAGGAATGGGAAGACAAGACACACTTCTCATCACTGTGTTATTTCAGTCACTGTTTATGTGCTCATAATAAACGTAATTAATTTGTTTATATAAATGTTGAACCCTATGTTTATATTGCCTTGTTTTCTTTTGACCTTGCTTGCGATTCACTGCAGTTTCCGTTTTTTGTCATATTGGAATTAAAATACGAGAATGATAATGATGACTTACGAATAATTTAAATATTTCATTTGTAGTGGAGTGTGGCATTCTTAATTACACACCTCATTTCCTCTCCACGATTTCTCAGCAGAAGTAATATTGTGCAATATATTAAATAACAGATCACAAATAATAACTATAAATTATGATCCAATTTCAAATTAAAAATGAAATGATATTAATTTTTAATTGTTGGAGACATCAGGAGTGAGAATTGTACACTGACACACACAATGGAGATGAACACCGGCTATTGGATGGTTGATCATTTATTCCATGTTTGTATTATTTTTTCAATAGTACTGCTCCCCTTTGAGAGGTGCTCGGCTGGGTGTGGCCCCATCAGGTAATATTAATCACAGAGTTGTCACCTGAGATCGGTATCAGCCCTGACACAATATGTGAAGTCATTTGTATCATAATGAATTTCTCTTTGGACACACCTCCTTGACTTTTATTGACAGGAGTCCTGCTATCCTCCATTAGAGAGGTAAATCCCCCTCTAAAGGTATCAATGTCTAATCTTTGTCTCCGGTAGAGTGAACACCACCAATGACCCGAAAACAGGCACAGAAGAAAGTCAGAACAAAGTCATTAAAGCACTGCTGAAATCATCTCTCAATTCAACCATGCAGAAAAACAGTCACCTGCTTCAGAAGGCTTATTTAGCAGAGAAGGAAGCTAGACGTGTGCAGCTCTGTGTGAGATACACTGAGTGAGTGAGGAATCGTGGGAAGGCTACATCTGGCTACCCAGTGGATTCGTCACCCCAGACATTGAACATGATGCATCACCTAATCCATGTCTTTATACCCTGCTATGTCATTTAGTTCCTTGAAACCATCTCCCATACTTCACCCAGCAGTTCTCATTTCAGAAGGGGACAATTTATTTCTCATTGTTTCTAATCAATCATTTGGTTATCATTGCCACCATAAGATGCTAATCTTTTTGCTTTATGTATGAATTGAGTCACCTGTTTTCTCTCACCAGAGAAGGATTTTTATTAATTCTTAATTTTATCAGTAATGTAGATAGTCATTTTTATAAGTTAACAATTAATAGTAAAGTTGTCCTCAAATTATTTATCATATACATGTAATAATTTCCTTTCTTGTAAATTTCAATTAATAAGGGTAATGGATTCCTAAAACTAACTATGTATGTACCTGTAATACCATGTATAATTCTATATAGTGCTGTTTTGCTGTATTAATTATTTTTATGAATCCAGATATTAACTTACATTGGAAATATGATTATGTAGACACTCCATTTAAGCCTCTTTCAAATAAAGAAAACTTTTCCATTGTATGAATTTAGAAATGACATCATAACTTACTAACCTAAATACTGGGCTAGACTAGACATAAAAGAGTAGTATGATTTGATATATTTTTTCATATTATTTAAATCTCTACAACAAATTTTAAGGGCTTATAATAGCATTTTCAACACAAGACTTAAGTTTTGTATGACACACCTAAGATTGTCCTAAGAATCACTTGGACAACCTACCTCTTCCTTTCATATACAGGTACTAAACTGGACAAAAGCCCAGAGAAATCAAATCTAGCAATATTTAGTAGAAAAAATGCACATCTAGAGAGGTAGCAATATAATTCTGAATAGATTAATACTGAGTCAATGAATTCCATGGCCATGAGCTTTATGAAAGAATTTCTTAAAAAATAATAATGTACATGTAACATTGGACACAAGTGTCTTAATAGGGTTGGATACCGGTACTCGATACCAATACCGTACCGAATAGTTACTTAAAAAATAACGGTAAAACACCGTTTCATTTAATACTGGTACTAATAACAGTACTTCTTAATTTTTAAAACATTTAAATACATTCAATTTGATTTAAAAAAAAAAAAAAAAAAAGATTCCAAACTTGCAATCAAATTCTACGCTCATTGAAAGGGTAGGCTAATTACATGTAACGAAATGGATTCTTAGAATGATACTTACTTTCGACTGCCGATATTCGAGGTAAATCAATAAGTATATTTAAAAAAAAAAAAAATTAGAATACATTCACATGACTCTTATTTTAATTTTACAAATAAAAACTGATAATAAATGTAAATTAAAATGGCAAAATGTTGCAAAAAATGTGATCTATCCATTATCTAATGTTTCGTCATTTGGTGCGACCAAACAAAAGGGGTCTTGGCAACCGGGTGAAGCAGTCAGCTGATTTATGCAAATTAATTTGCTTGAGATTCAATTGGTTTGTTTTGTTGATCATTATTAAAAGGTTGAAATGAAATGTTTGTAATTTGAATATTAGGAATATCTATTGTTATCTCTCAATTAAAAGCATGGAACATAGTTTATAAGCTCACAGGGGTCTAGAATTTTTTTTTAAATTCACTTGCCCACGGGCAAGTAATGACTGGGAATCCACTTGCCCAGATTCAAAATTCACTTGCCCCCAAAAGATAGAGAAAATCATCTAGTTTTACTAATTTTTTTTTTGAAAACATATCAGAAAATCATTTAATTTTACTGGTTTATTTATTTGAAAACATATAAATAATTAACCTAAAACAGAACTCGAAAACAAAAATTTAGAAAAATATAAACAACTCTATTTTGTTATTTTTTTATTGTGTGGTTTTAATGTATACGCCATCTAAAAGCAATTATTATGTACTTGTTTATTATTTTGTTAAAATATCTATTGATTTAATCACATTTTGACAAAACATTGTTTTCAAAACATCATTTCTGTTTCAAAAGCCATTCCGTAATTTTGAGATCTTTCCGGATTGGTTCCGATATTATACAAGTAATTGGACTTCCTATGATAAGTATTGGAGATTAAATAAACGAAATATAGCAGACTTGTGCAGATTCTAATACAATGTAATTGGATGTTTATTGTTATTGATTTCTTTTAATAAACTCAAAAAGTTTTGCTGGCTCAGCCTGAAATTTATTACTTTCCCGTTTGGGTAAGTTTATCATGAAGAAAACTATCTTTCCCGAGATGAATTTCACTTGCCCCGGGCAACGGGAAAGCGTAATTCTAGACCCCTGGCTCATTTTAGATTATATCATTGAAAGGTTAGTGAATGGTGAAAACACATTTGTTATAAAATGAACCCTCATTCTCATTCATCAATGCATAGTACCGTATCGTTAAAAATACCGTATCGTTTCAAAAATACCGGTATGGTATCGTACCGTTTCATCCTTAACGGTATCCAACCCTAACTGTGTCTAGCTATATAAGTGATTATTTTACCTCTGATGTTGTGGCTGCGGCTGGTGCCTGTGATGGTACAGCATTATTGGAGCTATCAGCAGGTTTACCGTCACTAGTAGCCCCACCCCCGGGCTTTGTATTCTTGTTGTAGGAGTCTATTCTCTGATTCATTACATCCCTGATTAGTCCATCCAGCACCAATCGACCTAACTGAGATTTCTGTAACTGTACTTGTACCTGGTCTATCAACCAAGGCATGAAACCCTGTTCAATATCTGAAATAAAAAAAATAATTGTTGAAGATTCTGAATTAAAAAAATTATTCTAATGATGAATAAAAGTAAGGTGGCAATTAAGGAGATTAAACTAAAACAACTGTGACTAATGTTTAGTCAGAGAGCTTTATCATTCATGGTTAAAATAATAGAACAAAGTGTATTTGTGAAAACATTTTTTTTGACTTATTTTACCTCTTTCCACAGGATCGTAGAAATAGCCATTGTCTGATAATGTGCCAAACACTGTAGGAACAAGATCTGCGAGGTAACTTTGAGCGAACGCTCTGGCAGCGATTTTATCTGAGGTCTCTTTCTCTTTTTTCACTATTTCTCGTTGTTGTTTCATTCTCCTCTCCTTTTAAATAGAGAAAAAAAAACCAGAGTAAAAGGGAGGTAACTCAAACAAAAGTTTTAGTAATAAAATGCAAAATACATATATATCATAAAAAGACTAACAAAACCAACTTAACCATAAATACTAAGTATTTATTGGAGGTTATTTAAAACATGACAAATACAGACAACAGAAGTATATTTTGTGTGACATATAAACATTCTGTCTCACCTTCTCTTCCCGATGCCTCCTCTCCTGTTCCTCCAATCGCTGTTGTTCGACAAGCTCTGCATTCCTCAGCTCCTCGAAGGCACGCTGTTGTGATCGGAGATTGGCTAGCTCCTCCTCTTCCATCACCTCCAGTAAGGCCTGCTCTACTGTCTTACCAACCAACACTTCTAGAATAGGTTTCACCTCAATATCGAAATCGAAAAGCTGCAAAAATAAAACATTATAACATATAACTTTTTTAAAAAATGCTGAAAAACTTTAGAAATAGAATTTAGACAGAAATTGTTCTACTTCAAATGCACAGTTGTATTGGCTTTTACAATGAGATTGTTTGATTCTTACATCTCCCTCCAAGATCTGTGTGGTTATATCCACGCCTGTTTTGGCTGGAACATACATTGGTGAGGGGGGTCTATCTAAGAAAGCATCAGTCTGAACTTCAACATCAGCCTCTTCCACACGATCACTGAGTTCTTCTAAATATAGCTCTGTTTGTACATCAATGTGTTTACGTCCCTCTACAGGATCAGGTGAGCGAGGGCGAAGCTGTTCCTTAGCCCTTTTTCTTGCTATTGCACGACGACGATTTTCCTGTTGTCTTTGTATTTCAATAGGATCTGGTTGTGCATGCTGGAATTAAAAGTACAAACAGTTCTAATACTCTAGTCTTGTAAAATAAATAGCTGTATTTCTAAATGCATTTGGAAAAATGATGCATTTGATTGAAAGGTAACTTTTCTTACTGCTGGAAGAGTGTGCTGGGCATATGTATTTCCTCGCACAATACGCCTGTCATACATAATATTTCCATATTGTGGGGGACCTTGGTTTCTGCAAAGCACAACAAAATGAATAAATATTGCAAAAATTGTCTAAACAAACCATAGTATAAAGTATTTTACTTAATGATTGGGTGTGTGTTTTGTTAGAATACAAAAGAATACAAAACATTTTAGACTCACTGTTCAATCGGATTGGCATCTCTGTACTTTTTCCTCTGTTGAACTGCACGAGGCTGACTCGCAAACGTATACGTGCCCTGAGGCTTTTGGGGAAGTATCGTCGTCATCGTCTTTTTATGCAAAACACAACAAATTTTATAGCTTTTTTAGAACTTACACAGTTTTCACGGTTTCTTAACCAGAATAAAAGTACATAAGGAGTTTAATGTTAACATTAAATATCAAGAAATAACTATATCCAAAAACTATGCCATGAAATTAAACAGAGAGCCGTTACCTTTTCAGTATATTTGACGGTTCCTAACCTCCCTCCAAATATTTACGAGTCACGTTGCCAGGATACAGTAGGCTCGCAGAAAAGACTCATTAAATCTTTAAAAAATTAAATGCCGACATAGCTTCTTAACTTTAAAACAAAAAAATTAAGGTTGCTTGTTAAAAATTATATTTCATGTTTAGGCCCCTATAACAATATTATTTCAATAAAAATAAAAAAAATCTCTGAATATAATATTTTCAGAATTTTATCAAAACGAAAATATTGAGAATTCGAGCCCGATTTAAAAGTGATTGAGCAAACCTGTAAAGAAGATTGTATAGATTTTCACTAATAATCAATATACCCAATAAATTCTAGAACATTATTTTTGATCAGAAATATTTTGATTACGAACACTAATTAGCATTTTTCACTATAAATCATATAGTCGACTAAGTTTTTCTTCAAAAGGAATTGCCATCAGATTCAGCAAAAAATCATCGTCGTTCTACTCTCGTATACAGACACACCACAGGAAAATCTTAATTTGTTGATAATGGGGTCGGGAAAAATATTTGCAAAGTGAATATTGGAGTAAAGTTAATTATTATTCAGAGATCTTTTTTTTTTAAGTACATTACTATGCTATTTCTTTTATGAAAGTATGCATTAGAGTTTTACTTTTTAAAGGGTGCGTTCTTCTCATAGTTATCTATGTAAAAATTATATTAAAAAAAAAAAAAAAAAAAATCAATCACACATACAATATTTAAATCAATCGTCTTAAAAAAAAGAAGCTTTTTTTGTAGCAAGTAAAAGTCAGGGTCATATTTTAGAATTTTAACAATTATCATTGCCAAGCATATGTGTTGCCCACTTCTATTTAAAATAAAGTTACAGTATTTTCACCTTCTTGCATAAATGTAAATGCCACTGATATAAGGTATGCAGGTTACACTACCAAAGTGAGATTTATAAATAATTTAACTAAAATAGATATTGGCTTACTCGAATTTCCTATTATTTTCATAAATTATATGGAATATTCATTATTTTTCTGTGTTTCTTTGTTTTAAATTTTTCTTAATTTCAAATATGATGAAGATCGACCTCATATATCGATAAAAATTAAAAAAAAAAAAAAAGCTTGTTTGTTTAATATTAAAACTATATATCGTAGTACTTAACTCTCTAATCATAGATTCCTTAAATGGAAGACTTTTTAATTACTAGTATATGTCTGCTTGCTTGATCTGAACCCTCTCCCGAGATATTCAGAGCTCTTATTTTATAATATAAATACAGTTCCCATATCTATTATTTATTTCATCCTTTATCTATCGGTAGAAATAAAACATAAATGTATTGTATATGAACTTTATTTACAATTACAAACTCAAACAAACATGCAATAACTTGCAGAATTTTGATTTTGGATGTCACTTGAAAAGGGCCGTTTGTTTTCTGTTTAAGAAAATAATTTAGACACACAAAGAAGACAAATAGATATACAGTCGTCAATCATCAACGGCTTTCGTTACGTTTTCCTTTTCAGCCCCTGATATACGTCGCGATCAAAAATCAGCATACCCCGTCATTACAGGTTGATTGGAGTGTCCACTAAATCGCTGATTTCCGAATATTGTTTTAATCTTAGTTGATTTTATATATTTGTTGTCCCACATGTATAGGATAAATCCATTTCAAATGATTTACATTTTACATATTTCGAATCTGCTGTTCTTTTGAAATACTTTCAAGCTTTATATGTTGTTAAGGACATACGCAACGTACCTTACCTACAGATAATTTTTCAAGATATTCTTAATTTAAGATTATAGTGCCATCAGATGTTCGTAGACAAAAAAATCAGCATGCATTACCAGGGGTTTTGAAAAGATATCAATTGATGAAAATTCTTGTATAATTCAAAAAAATATACAAAAATTACTAAACATATATTCTAGATGTTTTGCTTATCCAAACATGTTTTAGAAGAAGTGTACAACAGCATATATAGACATTAAAATGTAGCACACAGTTCCTTTAAGTATCGGAACTCTTTAACTCCAGGGAAAAAGAGAATAAAGTTCAAACTACGTTGCGTATGTCCTTAAATTACGTTCTAAATGGTCTAAACAAGGTCATTATAACTCATGTCTTCAAACCTTGTAAAAACCCTGGCAATCAAAGCTATCAATTACATAAACTGTGAAAACTAATAAAAACAAATCAATCCTATTTGTGAACCACTAGTTCAAAATCTAACGGTAAATAAAATTAGGGAAATATGTAAGTATACATTTATAAACAATATGTATTTTTATCCGAGTAACAGAGTATAGCAGTTTTACTAACCGATACTCGCATAGTTCGACGGTTAACCGGGTACCATATATATATATATATATATATATATATATATATATATATATATATATATATATATATATATATATATATATATATATATATATATATATATATTAATGCATAAAAAAAATGACGTTGGGTCAATCCCCTAAGAAGCACGAAAACCTGCTAAGGAATCACATTGGAGCTTAGCGGCTCCTACCCTCCCCCTAAACTGGTTTCTCGCGTTTGGAGTTCTCTTTTCTCTCTCCCTTTTTTGCGTGTCCAAATTTTCTTGACTTTGCTAATCACTATGGATCCCCCTTTCCCTCAGGGGAAAAGTACTTCTGTGCATAATATGACTGCATGGCTCTAGAAGGCTTTAAATAAAAGGTCAAGTAAGTCATGATCAAGTACGATATTATACAGTTATGGAATGGGTATGAGGGAAATAGCAAATTTATGGTTCCCCGAGGGAGGAAACTATTTCCCGAGGCGGCGAAGCCGCCGAGGGAAATAGTTTCCTGCCGAGGGGAACCATAAATTTGATATTTCCCGAGTACCCATTCCATAACTGTTTTATTATACCGAAACAATCATGGGAGATTTATTAAACTTGAGACTCAGACATTTTTAAAAACAATAAAGAGGCATTTAAATAATCACAAATACATGTCATTAAAAAGATTGTAAGATAACTAATGCATCCATACCGAGGAAAATAAAATTATTAAAAAATATAAAATAATTTCACTGACACTTCGAAGGATTATCGTTGTCTTCACTTTGCTCGAATTCCAGTATGATTTTGACATCGCATGTCGAAATGTTTTGACGTCATAGTTACATTGCTAATAACGTTACGTCAAAGACTCGAGATTCCTTGAACGCTCCGCCCACTGTTCATTTTAATTGGTTAAAATTATTAATAAATATTCATGAGGGAGTAGTCACAGGGAGTAGCTCCGATTTTTCAGGGAGTAGTCCTCTGATGAGGGAAATAGTATCTTCTCGGGGAAATAGACAGTTTTATGGTATTAATTTTATATAGAGTAATAACAGTAGAGGTATAATAAAAATAAGTGTTTCCCGAGGGTTTGGTTTATCTTTACGGGACAGATGTTATTTTTTAAAATATATTTTTAAATTAATTAATTAACATTGCAGCCGCCTGGAAATAGTATATATCGAAGTCAATTTGATGCCTCCGTGGCCGTAGGAACCGGGAGGGGGGGTGCCCCCAAATAATTTTGCCGATATATAGTATACTATAGACAACAAGCTACTGTATGGTTGTATCCCCTCAATAATTATCTGATGACTGTTTTATTTTTATTATTTATTTATTTATTTTTTTTAATTGTCAAGGATTTTTTTTCCTTAGGTAGTTCTCTCACCCCGAAATGAAAATGTTTCTGTGTGCCCCCTAAACTGATATTGTTTCCTACGGGCCTGGCATCATCTCGGCCTCATGGACCAATAGATAAGTAAGTCGTCACCTTTAGCCGTCAGCAGTATGACTCTGCATAAGTATGTTGTTATCTGCAACCGTTAATTACCAGACAGAAGGACATGGGCTTTATAATTAGTGCTACTGTGACATATCACCTGCTCGGTAAACAATGCATTCATCTTTCGTCAAAGTTTGAGAATTACAAAGGGATTTACAATTTGCTTCCTTCAGATATATGCTTCCTCCTTTTGGATATGACGATGCAATGAGTTAACGGAATCTTAAAGGTTTACACCTTTTGATAAATAAATCAGATCATGAAGGAAAGGCAGTAATTGAAATGCTAATCTATGCATAAATCGTCAAATTTGACAACAGCGATACACATTGATTAAAAAAAAATCAGGGGATGGTCTCTAAAAACAATTTGTTGCCAATCGTCGATGTAGAACAATCAGGGAACCTGAAAATAACGAATGAAGATGAATTACAAACAATGGGTCAGGAGAGGAACTTTTTCTGTTAAAGTAAGAATACATTCATCAGGATTGAGTGGGGTTTTGTCCATTAGCGTTTGCTCAAAACTCCCCAGTAATGTGTCATTGTGTGGAATCGGATGTTGTTTCTAAAACTTTCTAATTTTCGAATAAGGAATTATTTCATGGCGTTACCTGGGAATTAAGATCATTTACAGGTGAGACAAGCACGTGTTGTATTAATGATAAACTTCTTAGAACTGGATCTTACTCATTTGTAGCTATCATTACAAAACACATTTTTTTTTACTTTGTAAGGTTAAATGTTATTATGTAAAATTAGACGTAAATGAAGACTGAAAGGTGAAAATACAATTGTTATATATTATTTTCTGAATATTCTTAATCACTTTCTTATATAAAATAAATAAATTCAGACGGTGCTTTCATACGTGATTACGAGCATGATTGATAACTTTGTGTTTTAGTCGTGTATAAACGACGACTTATAAATGACAGATTGGTATCAGCTAACTGCATTATGACATGAAAGTGACAAGGACCGAAGGGTTAACATACAATTATACATTGTTAATACATGGACAAGGTATTCACGTCAAAAAAAACAATTGGCAAATAATTCCTTCAAAAAGGAATAGAAAAGAAATTCTAAAAAGAAATGAATTTAATATTTATTTTCAAGTATGACATAAAATCATTGAGAGTATGAAAATATTTATTTCATAACCGATTTTCTGTACACAATAAAAACAAGCTGAGAGAGAGAGAGAGAGAGAGAGAGAGATCAAATCGATCGAATACTTACAGTACTATATATAGTGATGCCCAACTTACATTCCATAAACGTCGCTACTTGGATGAAGTAAAACATTACTTTTTTCATAAGTTAAGGTTTTTTTTTTTTTTTTGAAACACGCTTTAGAACTAATAAGTCTTTGATAATGGGTAAAACATTTTCACTCTTAAACATTCGCGGAAGATGGTTAAAATACTCTACGCAGGGTTAGGGTCAATGGAATAAAAAAAAACTTTCTAATTATTAGAATCTCTTACGAAAATCATCATGACAGTAAGAGACCCAACCCTCCTCCTTGCGGAAATCCCCCAACTCAAACTAAGTCCTAAAAGTTACAACAGAACCATGCCACAGATTAACCGGAAATCTGAATCCTAATTTCCTCTGAAGCCCACGTGCCCCTGTTGTAAGTTACAGTTAATGTACAGGTATCGGCGACACTTTCACGTAGCCGCTATAAATCACGAAACACGAACATGTCCTCGTGAACGAAATGAACAACTAGCCACCATTCCGTCAATGTAATTATATTGGAATATTTGAGGACCACTCATTCATTTCCATGTCTTCGTAACCTCACAAATCTCTATTTTGAGTCCATAGCGTACTCAGATACCTTACAAGAACTATTAAATACATACAAGATGTAATGAATGGATTCAAATAAAAACAATTATGTACTACATTTAGTACTTATTCATGTGTGTACTTTATTGATTTCAGAACATGGAACAGAACAGTTCGAATAACCATAACAACATGACTAGTGATTTTTACTCATTTTCTCCACAAACTGAATCCAAAAGGAAAACGAAAGCGGTAAGATCCACGGTGTGTGCTCAGGTGACAGGCGTGGCCCTCTTCTGTGTGGGGCTCGTGGTGGGGCTCCTGATAGGGATTTACGGCTTTAATGGAGCGGGAAAAAACGAGGTCCTTCATTCCAATCAAAATCCTACACAGAGTAAACGTATTGATCCAAGCAGAAACAGAGACTCGAACACTCTTATGCCAATGAACAGTGGCACCAATGAAAATATTCACAGTCACAAATCACATGACCACGGTCATAGCCATGTGCCGAGAGATTCTCGGAAAACGACTCCTTCAACTCGAGATTCTCACGGGCACAGCCATGGTCCAGCCGATTCACATAAACATGATCACGCTTCAGTGGACTCTGATGGACATAATCATGCACATGATGGACACGGTCACTCGCATGATGCACATGGTCACGCGCATGATGGACACGAACATCCACATCAACCTTCAAATAACGTTCTGGAATCTCCAAATATTGAAAGCACTCTGCCTCCGACGGACACCGGGTTAGACAATGGGGCGGATACCATGACTTGTGAACCTTGTAAATGGACTTATCCGGTAGATGAAGAAACCAAACCGGAACTGTTCGCTCCCATTAAGTCGAGTGAGATGGTAAAGGCCAGAGAAGCACTTTATCGAGAACAGATAATAACAGTCAAACCCGGTCAAAAGTTAGCGTATAACGAGTCATACGTTCAATCCATGTACCTGTTTCCGCCAAATAAAGCAGAGGCATTGGAGTACTTAGATAAAGAAGGAGCGTTTCCGGGACGATATGTTACAGCAATGGTCGTGGAAGGGGCTAGAAAAGAACCACAACTAATGAAATACAAAGTGGGACCCCTTGAAGGAGACGTAGAAAACATAACAGTCACTCCTTTGTTGAAACCCAATGAGGTGCCGTTCAGCAATCGTCCGTATGATTCCATTGAGACAAGAGAGTTGATCATAACAGTGATGGACGCTCTTTATCGCATTAATTCAATGATGCAAGAATGTTTTGATTCCAGATCCCCATACAGAGATATGAGTGTCATGCCAAATGGCCCCTTCATCTACAATGGAGAACGCACCAGTCGGTGGACTGCAGGCCTGCGGGGGCTTGGAGACAAAGATTTCGACTTTCTAAATGTGCTTCCTCTGAACGGATTAATATATCACGGCGGGCAAGACCCGTCGAAATGGCGTGTTTATAATATTTTCTATCTAAACCAGGGTCCGTTTGAAACCGTTGAAGATCTCTACAAAGCCTACAACTCTACATCTCTGTACAAAATTCGTTACCCTAAGGGCACAAGGGAACTGATAAAAGAAATCACCTTCCCAAAACGCCGCTTATCCTACCCCGTGCGTCCGAATTCTGATCGAACTGGTACAAAAACTATAGAACCAACTGGACCTCGATATAGAATGAAAGGACACACCATATCGTGGCTGGGATGGGAATTTTCAGTCACCACCACGCAACACCGAGGACCGGCGGTATTTAATGTCAAGTTCCGAGGGGAAAGAGTGGTCTATGAAAATGCATTGAATGACATAGGGTTATTGTATTCTGCAGATGGTTCAGGACAAGACAATATTTTCTATACAGACTCTACTTTTGGTTTGGGGGAATCAAAGGCCGCTATTTCTGATATCGACTGTCCCTCCCATGCTTCCTATCTGAGAAGTGTTATGTGGAATCCTGTGGCAATGAGGGGAACAGAGAGAGTCACAATTTGTATATTTGAAATGGACGCTCAAGAACCAATATATCGCCACAAAGGCGACGATATTGAAGTGGGCATGCGCAACCGATACCTGGTGGCTCGATATCCGACTCAACTTGGTAACTATGACTACCTGATTGATTTCCAGTTTCACCTTGACGGCAAAATTGTGACAACTGCTACAGCCACCGGATTCATTCAGGCTTCATACTACAATACACTGAGTGATTTCTATAACCCCGAGGAACCCGGACGAAATCCGTTTGGTTACAGAGTGTCCAATGACATTATAGGGCCTATTCACGACCACACTTTCGCTTTCAAAGTAGATATGGATGTAGTTAGTGAAAAAAATGACTTTGAACTGATTCACTGGAAGTATGGCGATGTAATGGACGCCCTCAGGACAATTAAAAAGGAAAATCTCACGTATCCGAACTATTTCTTTCACAACCAAACACGGTTTGTAGAGTGGGAGCGCATTAAAAATGAGAAAGTCTTGGATATTGATTCCAAAAATCCTAAATTTTGGACGTTTGTAAACAATAATGCAAAAAACTTTTGGCAAGTCAGCAGGGGATATCGCTTGGTACCTATGCACTCAGGAACTCAAAATATACAGAACGATCATCCCGAGGCCACTCATCTCTCGTTCACAGAGCATCACCTCACGGTAACCAAGAGAAAAGAGAACGAACAGTATGTCAAACCAATTTACAACCCAGCAAACTCGAAGGATCCAGAAGCTTCTCGAAAGTATGTAAATGACATGGTAAATGGAGAGTCGATAGAGAATACAGACCTTGTTGCGTGGGTTGCTCTTGGTTTCCTCCATATTCCTACGTCAGAGGATGTACCTATGACAACAAAGGTCACTTCCGGTTTCACTTTAAAACCGTTTAACTTTTTTGATAGCACTGCAGTTTTTGATATGCCGTCGCACGCAGTTGGCCCCAATAAAACCCTGATTGATCAGGAACCAGCGGAAGCACCCTGCTTGTACGTGCCATACAGCGTTCAGGGATGATGCGATTCATTTATAAACCAAACACTATTATTTGAGGGAGTGGTAGCTCTTTTACTGTTCTAAAGAAACAGTTTAAATGTCTCTAGTTCAAATACAGATGTAAATTTTTACATTTTCTATTTAAGGAGTTATAGAGGTATTCATATTTTACTACCGTATATTACTACAATTAAGGCTTTTGACTTCGGTCGTCTATTTTACATGATATGCAAGTCGCATACTTAGATAATGTGAGATCCAGTGAGGTTGATAAAGTCCCTACAATGTTAAAGTACTGTACTACTATAAATGTATATTTGCATAATTTATCCTCGGTCAAAGGTCAACAGTACAGGTACTTGTGGACAGGACCCCTCAGAAGACTTTTTGATTCTATTTTCTTCAATTATTTTTGTAAGACTTATTACAATGAATTACATGTAAAATGTCTGGAAAAAATACGACTTCTTTCTAAAATACATACATTTAAATATAGAAGCTAGGTGTAAAATTCTCATAGAATGATTGCTGTAGGTTTTTTAAAATTCTTTATACACGGAATACATTGAAACGTTGAAAAAATAATTTGTAGGTCTCAAGAAAAGCGGGGGGCATCCAGGAGTAAGAGGTCTAGTCCAAAAAGTACATGTAGGAGACAGGCCTTTTAAATAAGGGAAAACGTTATTTTTCTATTATTCAAAGTGTTGCAGCTAACAAATATATCAAAGCTGAGCACGATCATGAAGCCAAATCTTCAAATCATAATACAGTACTAATTATAAGGAGTTAAAACTTTTGAGCAGCTTTATTTGAACACTCAAGACTAAAGTATCCTATACTCGCTTGATTCGGTAAAGTGATCGTGGCTTTTGCTTAGATTTGCATAATTCGTCAATGTTCCAACTACAGCTCGGTGCACAGTAAGTTATGTAGTTTGATAGATGATAGAATCAAACCATGAATTAGTCTGACTGCATGAATCTTCCACGGTGAATACAATTCCTCATTCATCAGCAAGATGTCTGACAGGCTTTATATTTATCTTTGCAATTTGTTAATTTTTTGTTTGATCTCAATAAATTTTAATATAAAACCATGTATGTACATTTATATTCATTCAACATGACCATTTGTACAATTTTAGTATTTCTTAATCTGATGTAGGAAAAGATTTTATTTTCACCTGGAAATCAGATGCAGGTGAATTAACTTTTCATAACCAATAGTTTAGTCCAATGCAGAAAATAATAAATGTTATGTTCACCTTCAAGGTTTCGTGAACATTATTTTGTACGAGTTCTACAATGATCTCAGCCAATCAAATAGCTAGATAGGAATTATTCAATACATCATTCATTTACAGTATATTTTATATACATGTAAGTGCTACTAAAATTTGAAATAGGTTTCTTTTTTTTTAGAGTGCGAGCTTTCCTAAATTATCATTTCATGTACATTGTTGCCTGTACAGTCATTTTAGATACCCTCTTGGTGTCTTAAAAGTACCATGATTTTTTTAATTTTTTGTTCAATTTAGTATCAGATGACTGTATTTTGAATCTTTCACTAAGTCATATAAATAATGTATATGATGATAACGCCTAAAGGGATAAAAAAACAAAATCAGCATGACATTTTCAGAGTGATTGAAGTCCTGTCAACGGGGCAAAGGAGCGCTTCGAAATGTACGCACCAGTACATAACCCGGAAGTGTTATGGTCAGGTTTACAGACGCATGCGGTGTAAAGTGCGGCAATACAGCACGTTCCTTTTAAAATAAATAGGCGAGAATCACTTGTATTCAAACGATAAATTTAGAAATAAACACGTAAACGCGCCAAAATCTGTGCTACGAAATAACTGACAAGTGATTAAAGTGAGAAAGAAATGCCGAATATCAATACTATGTGACGGACATGCACTAAAAATCCTCTCACTTAAAATGTGTGATTACAAAGATGTGAAAAATCGTGGATTAGGACCATGATAAAATATTCGTTTATTACACGAAAGCGTGCTTTTTGTAACATCTATTGAGATGGAAGTACATGTAGTACTTTACGGACCCTTCATTGTGTGTGCGCGCAAGAGAGAGAAAGAGAGAGAGAAAGTACACGTGTGTGTGTGTGTGTGTGTGTGTGTGAACAAAATGAAGTTTATTGTGAACACATTCCATCCAGGTAACATAATGCGCACACGAGCAATTTTTTTTTATCGCGAAACTTGCGAAATAAATTTCTCGCTGTTATTTTCATATGTCTGAATAGAAGTACGGTAAATAAATGCAGTCCAAACAGGTTTCGCCAGCAGTTGGAGACAGCGAAACCTGCCACCATACAACGCATATGATTACACGAATGATACAGGTAACCTGTCAAAGATTACAACTATTTCATTTTCTGAATTTTATAACTTTATGATTTTGCGACTCACGTCGACAGGAGGGAGTGCAGGAAATTTTAAGGGACAAGACATGCATACAGTGAAGCATTTTGAAGGTCATATCCAGGGTAAACTGGTAAGTATGCCAGAGGTAGGTTAGCAACATTTTTATAATAGACATAGATCTAAATCCTACGATTCCTCAAAAAATACGTGCACAATAATCAAATACTAGTATTTTGGTGCTGTACGTAAGTCTTTTTTTTTCATTATTTAATAATGTTCATTTGTAATTTTGTTCATATTAATATAAACTATGATAATTGACAAATAGCGCAACAGCATGAAACTGCATTTTATGTATAAGTTTTTGAATACATTGTGCTTCATAAGAATGCAAAACCAGGTCTGCTAATGATGGGAAACAATTGGTACCCAGAGAAATTCCAACAGATGGTTGTTAAACCCAACCAGTGGTATCTAAAGACTACATAGTTATTATCAAAGAGAAACTCTTTTAAATATCAGTTGCAAAGTACTTTTGTAATAAGGTGTTTAACAAAGTAAGTCTACAGATGACCAAAGACAAGGTAGGAAAATTTGCCAGTAAAATCATACTTATTAAAAAATCCGTTGTCTATATGTGAAAAGCTTGATCTTCAATTTATCGCTGGGAATGGTTGTATAAGGTCCTGAAAAGTCATACGTTTTGATGCTATTGATTTTGTTAAAATTTTGTGATTTCAATTTTTTAAGAAATGTTTGGAGTTTTTAATTATCCACATTTGATTGACACCACTTCTCAAATATGTTGTTTCACAGCACTGCTGAAGTTTCTCCTTCACTGTTGTTAATTTTTTCTTGAGGAGTAAAGAAAGAGATTTGGTAGAACATTTACTCCATTCCGCTATGTATCTTTGTAAGGGGTTTTCTGAAGTTTTGGATTCCAATATAGGTATGGCAATTCAGAATCAATTTGGTTGTTAGGAATATTTAAAGTCTTTAAAACTGACATGTGATTTTGAAGAATTTCTTCCTTAGAAAGTTAACTGTTAATATAAATTGGGTTACCACTTGAAGAATTAAATCCAAGTTCATATATAATGCCGTTGTAATAATGAGCCTTACAAACACAGACTTTGATCACTGTTCGTTATCGTCATCTTTTACGTTTAGTCCTTTTTGAATTACTGAAGACGGAAGGATAGATGGTCCGAATACTGCTACTGAATTGTGTGATACCTGATTTCTATATGCACCTTATACTTTAAATTCATTCTGACAAAGGATCAATGTCTTCTCTTCCATATATGACCCATATTCTACTTACGAACTATTTCTAACTCGAAACATTCTACTAACAGATAAGTTGATGACACAAGGGTGTCTAAGATTTCCTTTAATGTCAATATTTTGCAAGTTCTGTGGTTGATACAAAAACCTTGTTTGCAAATTCAAACTGTCCTTAGGTCGATTGTTGGCTGACGTTTTCCAAACAGACTGTTCTGCCATATTTTAAGATTAGTTTCATACTGAATTGTCTTCCACGGATTTTTCCGATTACCCGAACAGCATTCGGAGATTTGAACGGTTGATGCTAGGGCTCTCAAACTTCACAGAAGTAATCCTTGTGACAAGACCTTCCTTTGAATACCAACAACTAAGACTGTTTGACCTTGACCTTAGAGTTTGACCTACTTTGGAAAACTTGAACCTTGGCCATAACTTTTGAACTGTTGGTGCTAGGGCTTTGATATTTAACATGTATATTCCTTGTGACAAGTCCTTCCTTTGGATACCACCAATTGTAATCCATTCACCTTCACCTTGACCTAGGAGTTTGACCTACTTTTGAGAAACTTTAACCTTAGCCATAAGTTTTCAACGATTGGTGTCATGGCTTTCATATTTCACATGTGTATTTCTTATGAGAAGGCCTTTCCTTGGGCACCATTAATTTTGACCATTTGACCTTGATCTTGATGTTTGACTTACTTTTGAAAAACTTTAACCTTTTCCATATCTATTCAATGGTTGCTGCTAGGGCTTTCATATTTCAGGGATATTTCTCGAGACAAGACCTTACTCTGGTACGTACCAACATATTTGATTTGCATTTGAGAAAGTTTAACCTTTGCTATAAGTTGCCATACGGAGGCATCCGTGTTTCACAAACATGTCTTGTTTTATGTAGAAGTTTTTAAATAAAATCTGCTTCATATAAATATAAAAACAGGTCTGCTACATGTAATATCAGGGCGAAATTAGTACCAATGGGATATCCAACAGATTGTTGGATGACCAGATCTCCAAAAACTTCATATATATTGTCAATCAGAAACTCAAGCATATTATTAAATCAACTTCAGAGTAATTGATTGATTGTTGTTGTTTCACCTCACATTCGAGAATTATTCATATAGAGACGTCACCATGTAACGGTGAAGGGCTTCAAATTTAGACATTTACTCGGCACTCAGGGCCATTGAGCAGTGAGTGATATTAAATTAATTTACCGTTCCAACGCTTGTCGTGACAGACACGGAGCCTCGGTTTTGAAGTTCTCATCCCCGAAAAACCCACAACTTTCACTTCAAAATGCCACGCTATTGGCGAAGGAACAGTTGCTACCTAATTATATCGACTTAGATCAGTCGCGGCCGGGGATTGAACCCACGACCTTCTGATCACGGAGCTAGAGCTCTACCGACTGAGCTTCCGTGACGGTTCGGAGTACTAGTATGTAGAATCAAAATGTTTTGTATTAATTTGTATCAAAGTAAGTCTGCAGATGACCAATAACAAAGAAAAATTCCGAGTAAAACCATTCTTATGAAAAAGCTGCTTCCTATGATGTCAAAAAAAACCTAGTGTTAAATTAATCGTGGGGAATGGTTGTATAAAGTGTGTATTGAAAAAATCGTATGTTTTGATGCTATTGATTTTGGAAAAAAATTGTGATTTCAAATTTTCTAAATTAAAGTTCCTTGTTTTAAGTATCCATATCTGATTAACACCACTTCCCGAATATGATGAATATGCAAGTAAACGTAGAAGAAAACTAATAACATTCCATAACTATATATCATAAGTTTTTAATTATATTTTTCATATTTATTTCATTTTGCTGCATTTACATGAGTGTAATTTTCTTAGACAAAATACATGTATATGTAGTTCAAAGAATGGATAAATGTTTAGGATGACCTTACTAACGGGAAACCGTCCGAAAGTGTTCTAATTCAAAGACATTGGTATTTTTCCCTTTCAATTTCTCGTTTTTATTTACTTATTTTCACGAAAATAACCACTGTAATAAATATAAAACTATGGTTAATATTTTTTTAAGAAAGTGGGTATCTGATCCATGGTGAATCCACCATTTTATTCATTTTGTTTCATACATGTATATTGACAACACCATCATACATTGGCATATATTCATGAATACAACAAACAGTTTAACATACATCAAAATATCTAATTAACTAACATGCATTTACTGTAGTCCTATGTGTGTATATCAGTTATGTTGTAGTCTTTCCTTTCTGACATCAAAACAATTCTATATAGAGGTTTATACTCTGGAGAATATATATAAATCAGAGAAACTAGATTTCTCAATTCAAGATTATGCAAAAGAAAGTCACACCTGGAAGAAAACGGAAAACTTTACCTTTTACAATATTTCTAGTTCTTTTTTTTTTCATTTCCAGAACATTTTATCGAATGATATTAAGTTTTGACGAATATTTAATGGTTGTGGGGAGACATCAGTCTGTTTTTTTTCTACAAAAAAGTGAAAACTTTGTGACATGTTAAAGAAAATTAAATGTAAATTGCTACATGAAATTATTTTTTTAAAAATGTAAAACTTTTCACACATACTAGTTTTATTTTGCATATCAGCATTTTAACAGATAAACAAAATTAAAAGATGTTTTTTTTGAGGTACTAGGTTAATCGTATGTCTTATCATTTCACAAAGATTTTGTTCTAGTCTTTCAGTAGACCTATATTGTCTATTGATCGAAATAACATGTGTAAAATGACACTCATAAAAAGATCTAAATCAAATAAAAGGTACAACCTAGAGAGATATAAATTCTTAAGCCATTACAGGTGTGCATTAATTAATCAGACCGGGTAATACATCTCTTAATTCACTATAAAATATGAATAATGATTTTGGTCATGATAAGTAATGAAGGTTAATCTGTTGTAAACCGTCAGCCATTGTTCACGACATTCGAAAGTGCAGTTCACAGAGACCTTTAATTAAAACACAGGGCTATTTTACTTATTTGCTCTCCTTGCGGTGCGCTCTATAATAAAACCTTTGTGTCATTTTAACAAATAGTTCAAACTCGAGGCATGGCACTTTTTTTTTAAAAAAATCTTAATTACATATATGTATTCTGACACAGAGCCTTAGCTACCACTTTCAGATGAGAACAATATTTCTACATGACACAGAGAAGTGTTTTACTTGGAATCCTAACATACAGGTTACAAAGGTATTCCACAGACTGAACGAGATAACAACTTGTATTTTCTCTTGTAGAAGACAATACACACTGTCTTAATGTTTTCTGACAAAACACGTTATTAGAGACTTACAATGACTTAGTTCAATCAATAAATCTACCTGGCAGGTAAAAATTCCTTTGCTGTGCTACACAAATCATTGTCCAATTCTGTTAACTATTCTACACATGTGTAGATAACAAATGATTCTTCTGTCTCTTTGGTTTTGTTTTTAAATTCCACAATTGTTTCAAATTTTAGTAAACAAAATCTCGATGTAAAATTTTTATAATTTTTGTTCACTTGTCATATTAAAAACAGAACTTTTTTATATATATATATATGATAGTTTGTAATACACTTGCGTTCTAGGCACAAAAATGAAAATGTTCTTATTATTTTATCCCATCAATCAGCACACTATATAAAGTCTCTAACACACCGTAACATGAATCAGAACGCTATATAAAGTCTATATAAAGTAACATCAATCAAAATATACCCCGAAACAAGCTGCTACGGCAAAGATTGTTCTATTACTGTAGGAGGCGCAGGCAAAGCTGTCACAGTGTTGATCCCACAAGCACCTGCTTCCCATCTGTACAGCCTGGTTCTTATTCTGACCCAGCACCACCTGCACCACATACTTATATCGGGGCCACCCCAGCTCCTGGATCGCTCTTCTGATGTCGTTGGCCAGATCCGTCGTTAGCGAACTTCCTATAGAGTCTTTATATTTTGGAGATTCAAGTGTCGTTCGAAGAATTCGTTTCATTTCTTCTTCCACTATGTAACTTTTGAATCTTTTACCTTCATCTGGTTGTAGTTGATATGTATTTTCTATTCGGATTCCTTCATGATGTATTAGTTTATCCGAGGCTACCGAATAATTGTCTGACACAAGTCCGGACTTTCCCGGTTTGGGTCCTTTACCCATCCTTTTCTTTGATTTTAACAGTGTGTCCATTGTATTAATTGAAGTTAAATAAGCAGAATCAAATTCAATATTGCACCAAAGACCTACACAACTGCGTAGAACAGGACAGTTACATAATCTTCACTCCTAGCTGATTGATCCCACTGGGGGAAAGGCTTAAGTCCCTCGCTACAGAGAATATCGCAATCCACGTCTACCCAAACAACAGCACGCGAATAATTAAATCACTTTCCGGTATCTATACAAAGCGATTGCATTTAAAGTTTCTACCAGAGAATAGCCGAGCCTCCTAATCCACTAATCCGTACCGCGTTAAGTTATTCCTAAGTTCGTGCACTATGTATCCAAATACAGACATCCATTAACTGGATTTTACCCACAGGACGTAAATTCACTCGATCTTTTAATAATGTTCGCTTCATTTAAATCTATTAGATTCTATTTTTATTTCAGTACAAATGTGTATTGTTCACAGGCCATAGATTATGTGATCATACAATGCTTTCAATAATCAGTTTTTTTTTTTTTTGTTTTTTTTTGTTTTTTTTTTTACGAAAACTGTAGTTTACAATCATATAAGAATGATTAACTTTTCGAAGAAAGGTCAAGAATCCGGGATTTCTGCTTTGCCAAAATTTTCCAGTTTCCATATTTATAAAAAAAAATATATTCAGATCTATGATTATACATATTAATTTGCAAGCATCTAAATATAGTGCAGATTCATATATATATGTTCAAATCATGGCCCCTGGGGCTAGGGTGTGGCTAAAATAAATATTCAAAATTTTACAGGGGAATATATTTCGAGATTAGCATCTAGCGTTGCTAAATCTTATTGGTATGAAAAGATTCCCACATTATGTGGTTTCAAGTTTGTTCATATGTGGGCACTGGGTGAGGCTAAAATTTGTGATGAAATGTATATGTATTCAGGGGGGAAATCTGTTAAAAAAATTCTTCTTCAAAACAACAAAGCCATTGTTTTCATATTGATATCAGAACCTTCATGTGGTATGGATTCAAGCTTGGTTAAGTAATGATCTCTTGGGGTAGAATGAGACTATGATATGGTGTCAATTTGTTTTTTTTTTCATGGGAATTTAGACGGGAAAATCTGATGTATAGGGTACAGGTGACTCGGGTGAGCATTGTGGCCCTTGATCTCTTGGTTTCTTTTTCAGGTGAACATTGCCTATTGTTAGTTTCATTTTTATTTCATCTTCCTGAATACTTTTCAAAAAGAATTAAATTCTTCCTGCATAATGTATAATTTAAGCAATAATTACATTCACGTGATGCTATCAGTAGATTAAAGTCTGGTGCTTGATATAACTGATATATATAATATGAGTGTGTATTTATCAAATATTTTGTCACATACTTCGTTTTTAAGTGCTGTTGACGACAAATATACATGAGGGCAACTACACTCAAGTTATCTTTTCTGCAAGTAGATATACGTATGGACATATACTAGAAAACACGAAAAATAAACTTAAGCAGTTGGAATATTTGGAGGTGGAAAATCTAGATCATCAGATGTACAGGTGTGTATTACTAGTACTCTTTCAATATATTTACATAAGAACTAGTTTTATGGTTACCGAGAGAGAGAGAGAGAGAGGTGGTTTGGGGTTTGAGTAGGTGGTCACATTTACAAATATCATTTATCCTTTGTTTTGACAAATATTATAATTTTGAATTTTTCCCGTTTTAATTAAGTCGTACAATTGATAATTTCATATTGCTTTACTTATTGCTCATCTTTAAACGAAAATCGATTAATAGAAATTATATGTACATGTAGCCAATGGACAAAATCTGCATTTTGGGAGAATCTTAGTATTTGATTAAATTATTTATTGCTTCAACATTACCTCCTATAGCATATTCATAAAAAAGAAATAAAAATTGGAGAACTGGTCAGATCAAATCATATATGTAAAGATAAAACTTTTAAAGCTGTTACATCAAGAAATTCAAGAAAACGCAACAATTCCATATTTCTAGTTCAAGTAAAATCATTATGTAAATGAAGAATAGAACCTCTTTTAACGTGACACCTTCGTAATTTGTTGTATTTCTTAAAGAACTTGTTACATTCACTTAATTCTTGGATTAAAATTATGATAATGAGAGAGAGAGAGAGAGAGAGAGAGAGAGAGAGAGAGAGAGATGCAGTGTCGGGTAATTTTTTTTTTTTTTTGCTTCCAACATGTTAACATTATTTGAAGGACTTATCGCATGTTTATCAATTAATTGATATTAAAAGCATATTACGTTCACAATGATCATGGTTTATAAAACTTTGCGTTTTTACTGGGGATATACCGCGGAAATTAAACACTTAGCTATACTTATAAATTAATGAATTTTGCAAATAAACTTTGAAACGCCTGCACCAGAGTTCCTTCTTAATCCTCTAATGGTACACTAGGTATCAGATGATGTCCGTAAACTTTATTTTCATTCGCACACTAATTATCGTAAATTTAATCAAAAGTCTACTTTCATTTTCAATAAACAGCCGTGAAATAGCAGAAAAAAGAGAGTACGGTGGTGGTTATGGTTGGCGGATCTAAGTTAGTAGCAATTTTTAATGAAACTTACGACAAGCAATCGTTAAATTATTTGACAAAATGTTAATGAATTATTCAATAAAAACTTGATTTTAGTAATACAGAAAAAAGTAATGATTACTGAATAAAAACATAAAAGATATCGGACCTTATATTTTTAAACTGCCAGCAACAGAAAATCCGCAAAATCTGTCAACATTCGTAAAAAAGCAGCGAAGATAGAGAGGGAGACGCGGCGAAGACGAAGAAACTCGCCTCACAATACAATTTGATTTTTCATCTTATCACACACAGTGGCGGATTCAAGGGGGGGGGGGGGGTCAGGAACACCCCACACCTTCCCCCCGCTCAGGGATGAAATCTTTTCCCCCCTTGAACGCACACAATATACACAGGTAATCAACAGTATAGAGGGTGGTAGAGAGCACAGGTACTTGGGGGCTGGAACCCTGGGCTCAATACTAATACACAAATCTTTGAAGCAGTACATGCATATATAGCAGCAACAAAACGTTTTACTTGAACACTGTCATGTAAATGTATGTAATTTTTTTGTCACTTTTTCCAAACCGGTACTTCATTGTATTGTTTTCCATCTTTTTCCTTGCATTTTTATTAAATGTTTGTTTAATTTATGTTATGCAGTTTATTTACCTTGATCTTTCTGTAGGGAGAGGGCTAAAATAGGCTATGCCTGCTGCCTAATCCCATTCACTTCATGTGAATAAAATTATGTATAATAAAAAAAATGTATTGAACAGTATTCCTTGTGTAGATAGAAATAACAATGTAATAAACTTTTTAAAAGCAAAAGATCTGCAAACATTAATAAAAATGCAGTTTAATGATGTTCAATAAAATCCAATTAACGGTTACAACTTTGTGTAATAAATTGAGGTAAAACTATATGTTGATATATGTGCAAAGGAGGCTTTGTCAAAGCAAGAATTGGTCACTTTTTTTTGCCCCCGTATCGAAGATTCTGGGGTATATAGTTTTTGCCCTGTCCGTCAGTCTGTCTGTCCGTCTAGCTGTCTGTCTGTCTGTTTGTCCGCAAAAACTTTAACATTGCTCATAACATTTGATTGGTTGGAACTATGGCTTTCATATTTCACATGTGTATACCTTGTGACAAGACGTTTCTTTAGATACCATCATATTTGACCTTTTGACCTTGGTGTTTGACCCAGTTTTACAAAATCTTTCCCAACTTTAACCTTGGTCATAACTTTTGAACGGTTGATGCTAGAGCTTTCATACTTCACTTGTGTAATCCCTGTGAAAAGACCTTCCTTTGGATACCAACAACTTTGACCCTTTGAACTTGACTTTGAAGTTTGCCCTACTTTTGGAAAACTTTAACCTTGGCTATTTCTTTTGAACAGTTGGTTCTAGGGCTTTCATTCTTCATATATGCAATCCTTGTGACAAGACCTTACTTAGAATACCAACAACTTTGACCCTTTGACCGGGACTTTGGAGTTTGACCTTCTTTTGAAAAAAATTAACCTTGGCCATATCTTATAAACAGTTGTGCTAGGACTTTCATATTTCACATGTGTATTTCTTGTGAGAAGGCCTTTCCCTGGGTACCATTAATTTTGACCTTGACCTTGATGTTTGACTTACCGGTACTTTTGAAAAACTTTAACATTTTCCATATCTTTTCAATGGTTGCCGCTAGGGCTTTCATATTTCATAGGTATATTCCTCGATACAAGACCTTACTTTGGGAACCAACATATTTGATTTGCATTTGAAAAAGTTTAACCTTCAATATAAGTTGCCATACGGGGACCGGGGACATCAGTGTTTCACAAACACATCTTGTTATCAATTGTTTTTCAAGACTTTTCCCCAAAATATCAGGTCGGTAGATCGGTAACAAAATAAAATTAAAGAGTGCATTTATACAAGAATTTATAGGTACCCCCCTCCCATTCAAAAAAAAAAAAAAATAAAAATAAGTTGCTAGAAATATCAAAATATTGGCTACATATTGTTGTTGTACTCATCAGTATACATCAATGGTGAAGAAAATTTGTTTTATGTTTCAATGCACAAAAACATCATAATGAATAATTTATGCTTTACTTATTGTCTATTTTTAGCCAAAACCGCTTTAAATACATATGTCAGGATGGCCGATAATCAAGTAAGTAATCCAGTGTATAAAATATATATAATTATATTATTTACACATCGAAGCACAGTAAATACAATTTTCTCATTTTCTTTATCACTTTGTGGATCAAACATAAAATCTGTAATACCATATATAATTATTGTTGTTGTCTGATACGTCTAACGGTTGATACCGGTAAGCTCGTGGGACAATCTGTTGTGATCGACAGAGCAGAGTCTGAAAATGCAACCGTGCTTTTTTGTTTCGTTTTGTTTTGTTTTCTGTAAATCTCATCTTAGCAGTTAGGGAAAATTTAGACATTTTTCTTAAATCCACAAACACTTGAGACGCACGGGCCTTCACATTCTTGAACTAAGTTAATCAGTAATTATGGGTCGTAAAATATTGTATATACGTATTCGTTAACATAATCAAATTCGAGAACTATGGTATCGTCGCAAGTCTCGTTGTCTGCTACAAAATTCGCTCGTTCTCATTAATATTAATGACGCATATTCAACTAATGCAATAATGATCTGACGCTCTCAAGAAACCTCTTGTCCAATAAGAAGATCCTTGTATCCTTTATCTGGATGTAACGATAACCACGAGCTTCGGTTCAAATTAATTCTTTTTCCAAACAAGTAACGCTGTTCAGCTTTTTCACACAAAATATGCATGCAAACCCCTATCTTTTTAAAGCTATGTAAGTATTTAATAATATATTTTACAGGCGAACGTTAACATGAATTCATTTTGAGCGCCACCATGTAAACGTACCCAAAATTGCTGCAGATTTATTTCATCGGTCAAGATAAATGTGACATCATGTGATAAATTTCAGTGATTCGTTCACGGAGAACGAAAAAAAAAATTTCAGTATTCAGCCACTGGTTTGTAGAAATAGAATGGGCAAAAAATCCGTGGCTTGCGACTATGGCGCTATGTTTATAGGAATGGGTATCACCAAAATTTCGTATCGCGATATATTACGATGTTCCCCCCAAATATCATGATAATATCATGATATTTTTACAAGCAAATTTTACAATGATTTTAAATAAATATTCATTATTTTTCCTAAAAATATGCTGGAAAAACATAACTTCACTTTTTCTTTCATTTTTTATTTACATAATATAAAACACGTTTAGATGTTACAATGCCTTTTACCGTTTTCAACATTTTTTGCACTTCCTGTACCTGTAATTTGAAAGATTGAACAAATAAACGAACAATTTCTGGAATTTATAACTATGTGCCTGAATACCGGTATTTTAGTCTCCGTATCACGATACGTATCACGCAATTAAAAATCACATTGCAGATTCCTATATGTTTAACAGTTTCATTTTAATACAGATTAGATACTAGTAATTTTCTTCAGTACTGTAGATTCCTTATTTTTCGCGAGTACTTATTATCGCGAAATGGCTCTTGAGCGTCAAATCGCGAGAAAAATAATTCGCGAGTAGACAGTTCATCAAGAGATTTTACATTGATTTCAGCACCATTAAAATAAAAGCGAGTAATTTTATTTCGCGAGTGGTGCTTCTCGCGAAAGAAGAAGGTACGGTTTTAGTTTTATTCTGCCCTAAAAATCTAATGTTTTCAAAAAGTTTTGAAACTGGCTTAAATATTAGTTGAGTATATGACTGTGATAAATCAGGAAAGAATATGGCATGAAGGAGTACCATTCTGGAAATATGACATCATCAATTTAATTCATTTCTCTATTTTAAACAGAAAATGCCTCAAAATGACTCATTTCAAGGGTTATTTTCAATAAGAAAATAGTGTCCACAGCTGTCGCCCACTTTAATTTTTGGATATGTTGTGTAAAATTCTTTGAAAAATCACATATCTCAAAATCTTTGTGGGCGATGGCTGTGGACAATATTATCTGAAAGAAAATTCCATTGAAAATTGGTGTCTTCTGCATCTTTTTAAGAAAATACGGGAAATTGCACAAGTTTATGACGTCACAATTAGCATTTAGAAGATCATGAGAGAAAAATGATTTGTATGATCTTTCTGCATAGAATTTCAATGATTCAGAAAGCATGAGTTTTAATTTTTCACATCACTTTCATTTTTAAGAAAAACACAGGGCAAGAATTGTATTGAAACCGTACCTTGTTCTTACTCGATAATTAATTCCTCGCGTATAATTAGGAATCTACAGTAATTGAAACTAATTAATTAATTAATATATGAAGCGTATACTTAAAAAAATTTGGCATAGTTGAGCGAATCAGACAGTCATGACCATATTCCGCTGCATGCATCAGGTCTATCCATTCCATTTGCTGCTCTCTTTATTGTTGGTGAAATAGCCGGTACTGGGGTGCTGGCCCTCCCTAAGGCCATCGACGACTCAGGTTGGTAGAGCTATTTGTTTAACAGTTCATAAAAACGTAATAGAGTTCTAAATATATTTTTCCTGACATAGCATAGTTTGGCTAGCATTGCAAAGAGATTTTCACGCTCTAGGTTGGATTGGCCTCGTTTTGATTGTTGCATGCGCTCTCTTATCATCATACACGGGGAGCATTCTGGGACAGGCATGGCTAATTGTGAGAGAAAGATACCCAGAGTACAAGAGGCATTGTCCAAATCCATACCCGGTGCTAGGAGAGAAGACTTTCGGAAAGAAAGGAAGGTTAAAAGAAAATTAATAAATCGAAATGTATAGTACAATTTTACATTCATTTGGAGTGCAAAGAATTAATTACTTCATTTATTCGTATTATTTTTTGTTATAATGATATTAAGGATTTGTCGGTATTTCCATCGATTACATTTATATGTACCAATCATGGTATTTATGACTTGTCATTGTTGCTAACGATTTACATTTATATGTACAAATCATTGTATTAATGACCTGGTGTTTCTAATAATTTCATTATATTCACATGCATATTGTCATCTTATAATTACTAGTAAACTAATCTTTTCATAAACAGAAAGGTATTTTTACTGAAAACAGCACATTTTTACCATATAGTTTATCAGTATTCTCCGTACTTTGATTGTAGATATGTGGTCTCCTTCTCCATTAATTTTACTATGTTTGGGGTGGCTGTAGTATTTCTGCTCCTGGCAGCAGAAAACATAGAGGATTTGATAGAGGACTGGACTGACACCGATTTATCCTTCTGTATCTGGCTGGTCATTCTAGCCGCCTGTATCTGTCCTTTAACATGGCTTGGAACGCCAGTCGATTTCTGGTAAGATGTTTAAAGGGCTGTATATGTATATATATATATATATATATATATATATATATATATATATATATATATATAGCACTAAAAATGACCAACGACACGAACAATAATAATTGTCAAATTTTCGGGACAACCTGTCCCTTCCTCAGGACAAAGAAAAAAGTTAAGAAGTCATAAAAACAAAGGAAATAGAGAAGCAAAAACAACTAGCACTACTACTAAACTACCAAACACTAAATATTTACAAGGTTACATGTTTAATTTGGAGTTTATAAACAGTTGTGAACAAAGAAATCCGGAGCGCTATGAATTGCGTCCGGTCTATCGGGTGTACTCGGTGAAGTGTGATTTACATAATTGAACGAATTAATTATCGCTAATTAATTACGGCCAACAGTAAATCGTACATTGTCTTATTCTCTCAAAATAGCGTAACTCTACATGATAAAAAGAAATTAAAGAAAGATAATATGGAAGAACAATTTTGAAATATGAATTTGGATATATTATAAATTTGGAAATCGGAAAAAAGAAATAAACAAAAATGTGAGCTGTAAATATTTGGGTAGGTTGTTCCAGGATTATTAATACGAATTAACGGTAAAGTTTACGCTATATAGAGAGAATGAACTTGTTTGTTACAATTCGGGATTGGGTCTAGTTCACGTTCATTCTGGTGAAGTCATTAAGTTTGTTAATACCATTAGGGCGGAATGACTTCAGCCTGTGCATCCAGAACTTTTCCTTGCCTTTTCTCTGCGCGTCTGTCCATCTTGGATTATGGTCAATAACCACTACTGTCATGTCCTCCCATTTGTGACCTTCAAGGTTGAAATGTTCCCCAACGGTTCAAGCGCTTAACGACAATCGCGAGGGACGGACCCTCACAAACTCCTGACGTCTGCCCAGTGCTCAATAGATCTAGTGTTCCTCTCTCCGAATCGGAGACCTCACTTCTTTCCAAGGGGCTAAATTTCTGTCCCACGCCACATGAGGTCGACGAAAAACAAGTCAGAGAGGACACCCGAGCTTTCTTTCGGAGACTTCGGTTGAAGGAGCATTTTTCTAGAAAAAACTCCGAAGTTGACTCATATGACTCTTCTCAGCCACAATTGCACGACCTAGAGGAACACAAACTCTATCGGCCAAAAAGTGACTGGGAACCTGCACCGGGCAAATGCGGAGCCCTTGAGTCGTATATTGACGCCGTGGAGTCAGACATAGAGAAACTCCTTTCAATGCCAGACAAGGCTCCCGACAATTTGAGTAAGGAAGAGAGATCCGCCTTACAATCATTAAAGAATCGGGATGACATTGTAATCAAGAAAGCAGACAAAGGCTCTACAGTAGTAGTGCTTGACAAAGAGACGTACATGGCGGAGGCCCATAGACAACTCTCAGACGAACGTTTCTATAAGAAACTGGACTCTGACCCCACTAAAGAATTCTCCACCGCCATCACCAAAACTCTTGACGAAATGTTTGAGAAAAACGAGATTGGTATCAACGTCTATGAGACACTCAATCCTATTGACTGTAGACCAGGACAATTTTATCTGCTTCCTAAGATACACAAAGAAGGTATGCCAGGTCGCCCTATAGTTAGCGCTATTGGACACCCCACGGAGAAAATTTCTGAATACATCGATTTACATCTCCGTCCACACGTAGAGAATTTGCCATCCTATCTCAAGGACACCACGGACTACATCAACAAGACGCCCTCTACTGGCCTTCCAGATCATACCCTTCTCGTGACTATGGACGTCACATCTTTGTACACCAATATTCCGCACGATGAGGGTATCGAAGCCTGTAGAGAAGTCTGGGATAGTAGATCCATACAAATTCCTTCTACCGAGTCCCTTGCCAAGCTCCTTGAACATGTTCTCAAGTATAACAACTTCATGTTTAATGGAGAACATTACCTGCAGGTTAATGGCACTGCTATGGGTACGAAAATGGCACCATCTTATGCCAATATTTTCATGGGCAGACTGGAACGCAACTTGCTCTTTCAAGCACCATTTAGGCCCCTTAGCTGGTTGCGTTTCATTGACGATATAGAGATGAAGTGGGTGGAATGTCGCGAGAGCCTCGAGGCATTCATTTCGTTCGCCAACACCTTTCATCAGTCTATCAAATTTACAGTAGACGTATCTAATTCGAAAAACATATTCCTAGATACTACATCTACCCTGACTGATGGTGAAATCGAGTTCAGTCTCCACACGAAACCCACAGATTCCCATCTGTATCTTATGCCAACTAGCTGTCATCCCCCACACACATTTAAGGGTGTGCCTAAGGGTCTAGCCACCAGAATTCGGCGCATCTGTTCATCCCCTGCCTTATATCAAGAACAAAGCGGTCTCCTTAAGTCCCACTTATGCAAGAGAGGCTACAATGCCCGCACCGTACAAACTGCTATTGATGAGATGGCGGGACATGACAGGCAAAACCTATTACGCTACAAGGAAAAAGACAATAGCGGCAGGGTCCCTCTGGTAACCACATACCATCCCGTCCTTAAGAACCTCAGCGGTATCCTTCAAAAGAATCTGCCAATTCTCCACTCAAATAAACGAATGACAGAGGTCTTTAAGGAGCCCCCATTGGCTGCATACAGGCGCCCGAGGAACCTGAAGGACATGGTAGTAAGAACCAGATTGGACAATCCATTACCTAACGGGGGCTTTAAAACTTGCTCTGACAGAAGATGTCTTCTCTGTAAGTACAGCTCTGACACAGACAGTTTTAACAGCCCCGTTACAGGCCGCAGCTACAAAATACTAGGGAATTTGTCCTGTCAAACAGACAACTGCATTTATCTCATCAGCTGCAAAGTTTGCTCCAAACAGTATGTTGGTGAAACAGGAGATCTCCGCAGGAGAGTCAATAATCACCGTTCTACCATTAGGACCAAAAAACTCAATGAACCCGTTGGGGAACATTTCAACCTTGAAGGTCACAAATGGGAGGACATGACAGTAGTGGTTATTGACCATAATCCAAGATGGACAGACGCGCAGAGAAAAGGCAAGGAAAAGTTCTGGATGCACAGGCTGAAGTCATTCCGCCCTAATGGTATTAACAAACTTAATGACTTCACCAGGATGAACGTGAACTAGACCCAATCCCGAATTGTAACAAACAAGTTCATTCTCTCTATATAGCGTAAACTTTACCGTTAATTCGTATTAATAATCCTGGAACAACCTACCCAAATATTTACAGCTCACATTTTTGTTTATTTCTTTTTTCCGATTTCCAAATTTATAATATATCCAAATTCATATTTCAAAATTGTCCTTCCATATTATCTTTCTTTAATTTCTTTTTATCATGTAGAGTTACGCTATTTTGAGAGAATAAGACAATGTACGATTTACTGTTGGCCGTAATTAATTAGCGATAATTAATTCGTTCAATTATGTAAATCACACTTCACCGAGTACACCCGATAGACCGGACGCAATTCATAGCGCTCCGGATTTCTTTGTTCACAACTGTTTATAAACTCCAAATTAAACATGTAACCTTGTAAATATTTAGTGTTTGGTAGTTTAGTAGTAGTGCTAGTTGTTTTTGCTTCTCTATTTCCTTTGTTTTTATGACTTCTTAACTTTTTTCTTTGTCCTGAGGAAGGGACAGGTTGTCCCGAAAATTTGACAATTATTATTGTTCGTGTCGTTGGTCATTTTTAGTGCTTTATATAAATTTCCATCCGTGACCTTGTATCTACTTAGTAGATCCGACACTTCGGATATACAGTGTTGTTGGTTTTTAGTGCTTTTTATATATATATATATATATATATATATATATATATATATATATATATATATATATATATATATATATATATTGAATAAAATATTTTTCCTTGGTATAGGGATAAAATAAAATCCAAATTTAAATGAAAAACTCAAACTTTAATCTATAGCGCTTTCACCCCATGCGGGCTCATCAGTAGATTTGAAATAATAAACAAGTTACATTGTGTTACATTATATATATGTGGCTCATTTTACATTTGTACGCCACTCACTCCTAGAACTTTATATACCTTTATTAGGCAATGCACTTGTACGACTATCACTCAGAGAACTTTATATGTCATTATTAAGTAAGTTGTACGACTATCACTCAGAGAACTTTATATGTCATTATTAGGTACGTTGTATGACTATCACTCAGAGAACTTTATATGTCATTATTAAGTAAGTTGTACGACTATCACTCAGAGAACTTTATATGTCATTATTAAGTACGTTGTATGACTATCATTCAGAGAACTTTATATGTCATTATTAAGTAAGTTGTACGACTATCACTCAGAGAACTTTCTATGTCATTATTAGGCCAGTTGCATTGGGAGCAACACTTGCTACAGCTATTGCGTGTATTCTGCTAATCGTCAAAGTTGCTTTAGATGTGGGAACATACGACCCAATTCTGCATTCCAAGACAGAGTTTGAGCCATTTTTTATGGCGTTTGGAACAATAGTGTTTGCCTTTGGGGGTCACCCTGCATATCCAACATTCCAGACTGACATGAAAAAACCAAAAAAACTTTAAATGGGCCGTGTTTCTTGCATATATAAGTATGCCAATATCTTACAATTAGCATTTTTGTCATTAATTGTCATAATATTTGCAATACTTGTTACTATGAAAATATTCCTATTATCTGTTAAGTTACAATACCGATGTATCTTCCTATGCCCGCCATTGCTTACTTTGTTTACGGCAAGAATGTGAGGGCAAACATTCTCCTCATGCCGAATGGTGGAACCCTTAATCAAGTCGTGGAAGTACTGATCACCATCCACTTGCTGCTGGGTCTGTTGATTTGTATCAACCCCTTCTGTCAAGATGTTGGGTCATACGCCAGGATCCCAAAAGGTGAGGGATTATTGAGACATTATACTTGTATTTCAGCTCCAGAATTGAAAACTTCACCGACAATCGCAAAAATCCGAATTTAGCCCATTTAGGACCTATCAAAAATATTTTTGAATTCGATATAATGAATTGTCGAATTTGTTATAACGAATTTAATTCATTATGACAATTTCTTTGAATTCGTATAACAAATTTTATCTGTTAAAGCAGATTTGTTAAATTCGTTTGAACGAATTCAAAAATTGTTATAACAGATGAAATACGTTTGAACGAATTCAAAAATTTGTTATAACAAATTAAATTCGTTTAAACAGATTCTAAAATTTGTAATAACGAATTAAATTTGTTTAATCAAATTCAACAATTAGGGTCTATAGAAAAATATATATGAATTCGATATAACGAAATGTCGAATTCCTTTTAACGTTTTCATCTCCGAGAAAACAGACAAAGAAAGCATTTAATTGTCTGAATAAAGAACTAAGGATTAAAACATGATTTACAGTATATAACTGCAACAAAGCTCGTGTATACATAATGATGTTTTTCATAATCGGAAGGCAGGCTCAGAAATATTGTTAAATGTTTATGTCGTTTATTTTCATGTGCAGTTTCGAATATCAGAACATGACATGAAGATAACGAACAGTAATCAAGCTCAAAAGTCAATAGGAACAATACAGATCTGGAGCAGAGCAAACACGGACATCTAAAAACTCAGAGGTGGGATCAGGTGCCATGGAAGAGTAAGCATCCCCTGTCTACCGTTCACACCCGCCGTGTGCTCCCTGTCATGATCGGGAAAACAGAAGACAGTTCAGTGTGAAAATAACGGCCTAACGATTTGTCAGTCATCATTCGACTTAGTAATAGATTGTATTTGCTGGCAAGGTCATTGTATCGACCATAGAATTTTCGAAAGTTTACTTTAAACGAGACTGTTGATATACTTGAATGTTTCACAGTTTGTCACGTATTAGAAATTGCTTGTACATAGAGGATGCTCTTGTGTATAAAATCAACTCCATGTGCTGGTGATAATGGTACATTGCTACAGAAATAATGGAAGTTGACGATAGAAAAAGTTGAAGTCATCAGGTTTATCATAAAGCTTTGTTGTTATTTTACCATTAACGTCTTTTCTGAGTAAAATATCCAAATATGAAACAGATGTGTCAGACGCTGCGGTATCTTTTATTTCGAGTTCGAAGGTATATATATCGAAGCAACGTAGGCATGAAAATGAATAGTGTTAATTGATAAAACATCGTCGATATATCTTATTGTTAAATTGAAGGCCACAGCAACATATTTCTTCTTTTTTTGAAGAAGTTTTTGAATAAATTCCTAAAGTTAATGTCAGTAAAAAAATTTTTTTTTCAGATTTTACCTGGAAGCGATGTGTATTTAGGTCACTTATTGTAGCCAGCATACTTTTTGTGGCTGAAACGATCCCCACATTTGGTAACATTTTGTCCCTAGTGGGCGGGTCCACGGTGACGCTTTTAGCTTTTATCTGCCCATCCCTTTTCTATTTGAAACTGAAGTCTGTTCATCAGAAGGACATGACTGAGATAATAAATGGAAACAAAGATAATAACCTTAGTCTTCTAGACGACGAAAAGTAAGGAGGTTATATATTATAATGTTTAAATATAAATGTACGTTTTTCCGAGACAATTGATAACCCCATTTTCTGAAGAAGATTACACAATAGTCATAAACTTTGAATTTTGTTTTTAATTGAATTTTTTTCATCTGATTCATCAAAGAGACCGGCCCTTCATTTCCGCATTCATGTTGCAAAATATCCTACATCGTATTATTTACTTCATTGTTCCATTCATCCTCATAATTCCAGCCATTTTACCGTTTTGTTTTAGTGGTGGACTTCCTCTGTGGGTTAAAGTCATGAACATCGAGATCATTCTGTTGGGGGCCGTGGCTGGCATCGCCTCTACATATTCCGCCATCAAATCCATCATCAGTAGCGACTTTTCCAAACCTTGTTATTTATAATGATACAGTGGCGCTGCTGACATTTTTATATCAGTATCAGTAAAGGAGTCAAACGTTATGAGAGAATTTACCACCAGTGACACTAACATCCTTCAGCTGAATTATTTGAACTCACTAACTAGGAAAAAACCGAGATATTTTGTACAGGAATGATTGCCGGTTATATAATAATGATCGAGATTTGTAATTTATTAGACGTTTTTATTAATCACAATTTAATTTTTTTTTTAATTTCATTGATGACAGTTTACTAGTATATCTAAGGTGTAAGGTCCCTCTGAAAAGAGAGAAAACTTTCCAAGGAAATTATTCTAAGCAATCCAATGAATGATCTTACCAGAGTCCATTACATAGTCAATTCAATAAAATCTGATATATGTTACAAATATCAATTTTTTTGCCAATATTTTTAATAGTTACTTATAATAATTTACCTAAAACATTTGTACTCAGTTCCTTTAAACTGTTAAAATTGAGATTTTATATCTCTTAATAAACAATTCTATAATTGTTACAGAAATTTATCATGTATCAGATGCAGAATTTTCATAATCAATTCTTTGATAATTTTCCTCTTAAAAATATTTTGATGAAAGATAACTCCTGTAGAAGGAAAGATAACTCTTGTAGATGGATGCCTTTTTTTTTTTTTACAAGCACAGAAAACAATTTGATATTCTGGTTTAAAAAGCAACGCTTCATTATGTTTTTTAATATGAATTAAATATGTATGATTCTAATGCTATTGTTTTTGATGAAAATCAGTGATGGGAATTTAAAAAAAAATTGGTGAAATTTAGAGCAAAGGGATATTCACCTTAAAGTTTAATACATTTACAACGACTATCTGTAAGCTAGGTATAGAGGAGAAAATGTTTTGATAAATTCAACAACTTACGCCTCATAAACCCCAAGTGGTGTAAAAAAAAAACAAAACAAGAGGCCTATGGTGTACTACGGTCACCTGAATCACTATGACCTTGCTAGTCTTCAGCACGAGATTTTTACTATACTGTAAACCACTTTTATTCGCGTTCGAGAAATGTCCGCGAGTTTCTTAAGCTCGAGAATATTTCTCGCCGCGAATCAATGATTTGCTTGTGTATTTATGTTAAGTATTTTCTCAGTCGAGAAAATTAATAGTAGCGGATTGATTTCAAACCGGCGAATCGCGAATAAAAGATGTTGCGAATAATAGCTGGTTTACAGTATATTTCTTTCTAAAACTTGATCACCTATTATAGCCTATCCTACCCCCGGGGGTCATGATTTGAACAAACTTTATTCTACACTATCTGAGGATGCTTCCATTTCTATATGACTAATCATGCCTTTGCCGACCATAAGATTTTTTTCCTATTTAATACTATGTAAAATTTTGATCACTTGTTGTGGCCCACCCTACCCCAGGGGTCATGACTTAAACAATATCATATACCTAGTAGTGTGTAAGCCCTGATACAAGTGTATTGGACCAGAGGTGCAAGGTGCCTAGGAGGAGCGAACATCCCTTGTTGACCGGTCACACCCGCGTTGAGACCTTATGTATTGATCAGGTACTAAGTACTCAGTCAAATTTAGTATAAATGCAATGACGTAACAGATGGTGACTCCTAAAATATTGTTTTACGGTTCGTTTCGTTGATAGTTCGCACAAGTCAACATGTGCATAAGAGGTGGCAGGGCCCCGTTTTGTCTTAATTTGCTTAGAAAATTTCATCCGGATTATTCAATCTAACTTTCTTATTTGAACATTTTTATAACTTACTTGCTCTTACTTTCTAACTCCAACTTTCGTATTTTTACACATTTTTTTACTAAAATAAATGTAGGTGTATATACTGAAATAAAATTTTAAAAGTTAATTCTAATAGAATCAAAATTAGAAAGTCTGCAAAAATTGAATTGGAAAAACAAAAAGTTAAAACTTAGATAATCATTAAATGAAATATTAAAATAAAATTGGACAATAAATTAAAATGAAAATAAGAATACTAAAAGAGAACTGTGCCACAGAAATCCCTCCATAAACACCAGTTAAATCATCACAGCTAACATTTAATGGGTGTTTTTAAAACTATGTGAAATTAGCTGCACACTGATTAATGTACTTGACGCATTTTTTAGTGTGTTAACTTCCATTCATTATATGCCTTTCACCCTGTGTCAAGTACCGGTGACCATTTAACATAGTAAAACGACTCTTTATTATATTGAACACACCATTTATCTGTTTATGAACCTTTCCTCCTATAACAAGGATTGGTGACCATTTAACATACTAAACCAACCCTTCATTAAACTGAAGACACCATAATGAACCGACTCTTTATTATATTGAACACACCATTTATGTACCTTTCCTCCTATAACAAGGATTGGTGACCATTTAACATACTAAACCAACCCTTCATTAAACAGAAGACACCATATTGAACCGACTCTTTATTATATTGAACGCACCTTATAATATGTGCCTTTCATCCTATAACCAATAGCGGTAACCATTTAACATGGTAAAATGACCCTTTATTTTATAGAACGCACCATTTATGTACCTTTCACCCTATAACAAGGAGTGATGTCATTTAAATTTTTTTTTTATATTGAATAAACCATATATAATGTACCTTTCACCGTATAACAAGTAGTGGTGACCATTTAACATAACAAATCGACTCTTTATTATATGGAACGCACCATATTTTATGTGCCCTTCACCCTTTAACAAGGAGTGGTGACCATTTAACATAATGAATAAACCCTTTATTATATAAAACACAGCATGTAATATGACGTACCATACCTTAAGACAGCTACGGCGTTCCAAAGAAATGGAAATTAGGCCGAAATGACCAGGGTTTAAATGTCCTGACGCGCAATACTGTATATTGAATTTTTTTTTTCTTAAAAAAGTTTATGAGGTGTAATTAACACCAGATCGAGATTACAACACTCCAGTGAATCCTCTGTGTAAAAGACAAGTGAAATAAGACCAGAGATTGGTATGTTATATCTTTATTATATTTTTAAAATCTGTTTATCACATATTTTCAGTACTACCTGTGTCTTCTGTGTGTCTTTGTTATCCATTTCTATTTTTAGCTCAAATTTGTGAAGTTTAAATGAGGTTGTGACGTTCAAAAACATGTATAGAAAAAAAATATATACATAACTGAACAGAAGACAAAAGCCGAGAATGTTGTTAAAAATCGTAAATGCGTCAACCACATATTTATACACGATTATATAATAAATTTAGTATTCTCTTTAACGCACCATTCAGGCGTAACAAAGTAGTCATAATATTACTAAGTTAGTAACGATATATATACTGTTTTAAGATACTCTCGTTTCATTCTAAGTCGTTGTCTATCTAAAATCGGTAATATTATAAAGAAGTAGTGACCTATAAATGTGCTCTGTAGGAATCTAAACTATAGAGGCTCGGTAATGTCACCATACAACCTTATCTTATCCTTCATTATATTACTCAAATTTTTCGTGTTAAATTGCTAGGATTGGACTCCTAATTTTGGTTGTCACTGCACAAATTGGCAAAGTACTTAAAATTATCTTACCTAGCAGAATTTAGGACGTCTACGATTGAATTAGTTCATGGTAAGAGAATTCATAAACTAAGCATACATGTATCATAACTTGATGACGAGATATTCCATATCGTCACAGATTGTTAATTAGGGACTTACCCACTCGCCAGTAAGCTACATATTAAATGAAATATTTGGAGATAATAATCTTGAAGGGCAAAGGTGCAGAATTCCATGTATTGTGTAGGGATGGCAACAGTTAACCGGTTAACCGACTAAACGGTCGGAAAGATCGTATGGTTTATGAGATCCATAACCGGTTAGTCGATATGTTTTTGCAATATATAAACTTTTTAAATAATATATTATTTCTTTAAAAAAAACCCTTAGGTAGCTTGTTTAAAACTGAAAACAAATTACATAAATCGCAATTCGCCGCTGTCATAACAAGTCTCCGTAATTTATTCATTATAACCCTAAATACTAATGGTTTGGTTTGAACATATTAAGGCCGACATGCTTTTCCGCAATTTTTTTTTCGTACCCTGTCTGCTTTTCCGCGACTACTTGTTACTGTTTTTTCCGCGATTGGTTTTTACTATATTTTATGTATTATATCCTTTTTTGATATCCCCTTTCCGCGATTTTTAAATGGTGAAGGTTAACACTTAGCAACAAACGGTTGTACTTTATAATTACAAAGAAATTAAGCAAAAAATCTAAAAACTTATTACGCCCTTTCCATAAATGTATATATTACAAATTTGAATAAAAATTAAACTCTAAACACTAATTAAAGTTTATTAAAGTGTACATGTACCACCATCATAAAAATCCTGCGTATTTTTTGTATTTACTGATGCGTAAAAAAAACTTAAAACAACTAATTTATATGGTACATGTACCCAGTTGATCTCGCCCATTGCGACACTTCGCAATGCAACCACCACCGTCGACAGCTTGGAAATATTTTAAGAGAGACCGTGACGGCAAAATAGTACAGGAATACTATACCAAACAGTCTTTACAATTCCTCACTTTTTTTACTCAAAATTTATCTGGATAGTATGGTGGCATGTTTATGCCATCCAGACAGTTTTTGTCAACATAAGATTTCGCGTCAACATGGTCAAGTCAAGATAATTATCTCGTCAATTCGAGATTACTTTCTGGTTTTGTCTTGATACACCAACATCTATCTTGTATAGTCAATTTAAGCTATCACATTATGTTGACAAGTACTGTCTCTTCATAACTACAGTCACGATCATGCTTGGATCTAGAGGAGGGGGGTGAGGCTCCGGACCCCTCTGGAATTTGCAGAGTTATGAAATGGTAAATAGTAAAGTAGCTAAAAATATTTTTGGACACCCTCACCCTGAAAAAAATTTGACCCCTGTTAAGTTGCTAGGAAGAGATGCTTAAGAAGTAAAATAGCCCCCCCCCCTCCCCCTGAAATAGGCTTTTCGCGCTAGGGAGATCAATAATTCACTGTGATATTATATTTTGATAGGTAGTTTTTAGATTTATGAATGACCCGATACATTAATTTTCTACCTATGGCATATAATTAACTCAGAGAAGACCAATAATTAATTGAAATTATATAATTAAATTCAAAATTTACAATTAGACACAGCTGATAATACTCCTCCTACGCACCTTATCTCATCTCTAGTGTTTCCAAGTTCAAGGTCAGTTTATTCTCCCAAACCAAAATATTGGTACATGGGATACATTAATAACATATATACATTATATACAAACTGGTCAGAGGTACATATACAAAACAAAAAGCATGACAGAATATTGAAAAAATAAATAAATAAGAGAGGGGAAAATATATTTCTAGAGGTCCGTGCTCTTTTGCCCTGTTCACGATTCGTTTTGATTACTGGATTATAATGAGATTGATTAGTGTTCGTTATCTTCACCTTTTACACATTACTTTCAGAGAAAAAATATCATTGTGCTGTAAATTTGCTTGCTTAATTAACCTCATTCGTCACATTTACTTGCAAAATACCTGTATATGATGATGAAAAAAATTGCTCGACAATATTCGGAAATCCATAGATGTTGAATTGGTGAACGGCAAAAAAAGTTATGTCTTTGATTATTTTAATATCACGTTTAATTAATTATTCTTATATTATACAATTGGTCTGGAATTCTCATTAAAATTAATGATCATTTAAACAATTTTGCAAAAATAGTATAATAATTTCTGCAATGCATTTTATAACATTTTTGATATTATAAAGCATTTTTTCACATGTAAGTATTGTCTAATAATGAAAAAGTTAAAAATATATTTCATAAATAATTACAATTCCGTCTTTACTGAAGCGACCACTTGTTTCGCCATGATACAATGTACTTCATCTTTTAAAAAATATTTTAGTGCTATAAATAATTAATATTTAATGGTAATACTATTATCTTTTATTCCACAGGTATTATTCACAAAATAATCATCAATGTCTGTCGAAAGCTGGGTGGACAAACTAAATGGAAGGTGGACACCGTTGTTATTTCTGATATTGGGCATAGTGGCATTTCTTATTCCACTGTTTTTTAGTCCAATTGAATGCAAGTTTCCATCGAAATTTGCTCCACATGATGTTGCATACGGAAAATCCCGTTGTTATGGAGCCAAAAATACGATGATGTATTCTAAAAATGAATGGGACCTAGTTCCTCATCCATTTGTTTTTGCAGATGAGCAGCCATCAGGCATTGGAGAAAGAACTTTGTACCAATACATATCAATTATTCTGATTTTACAGGCTATTTTCCTTCGAATTCCATTTATTTTATGGAAACTGGGAGTGGAGAAATTGGGCATCCATTTCCTTGTCGGCACAGACAACCTTAACGACAACAGCAAATCTACAGGCAGGAGACTCGCAGTCTATCTGGAACAATGGATTGAAAATCGGAATGTCAACATCCTGTCGCTAGGAGCACTGACAATCTTTCATTGCTTTATCAAACTGTTGTATTTTTTGAGTACCTCTATACACTTAGGTTTGTTGGATCCTTTCCTGAAACAGGAAAATGAAACGAGCTTTGGTTCTCAAATCCTGAAAAACATAAGAGAAAATAACATGTCCTTTTACCAATCTTCTCCAGCTTTCCCCTTGCAGGTCATATGTGATTATTCCTACAGGCTCGGTACCTATCATGAGAGATATACAGTGTATTGTACCTTGCCGCTCAACCCATATCTAGAGCAGATGATGGCGGTGGTGTGGTGGTGGTTAATCTTTTCTATAGCCGCCACAGTAGCCGATGGTTTGCTCTACCTTTTTGGTGCTGTTCTCCCATTTTTCAGGGTCAGGTAAGTCTTAAACCAATTAACACACGGTCAATCAAATCTTATATCAACTAACACAGGGTCGTGTAGGTTTTAAACTTATTAACATCATATTTAATAGTCATTTAGGAGTATTGTTGCCAATGCAATTCAATGTTTTTATCATCTTTCTTAACCAATTTTGTTGATTTTTCAATTTTACCTTTCACTTTGTTTAGATTTGTAAAATCGAATATCTTAAAAACTGATCTTGGAAATTTAAAAGAAGCTCTGACAGACCGAAATATTCAGCGATTTGCCAACGACACCTTAGGAGAAGACGTAATTTCTTTTCTAAAACAAGTACAAGACAAAGAAAACGGATGTGTTGTCATGGAAACTGTTACTGAACTATGGAAGATCTACCATGGCAACATGCAGCCAACACCAAATATACTACCGTATCCAGCACAACAATCATCTCCAGGATCACATCCTCAAGCATTGTCCGTGGAAAACCAGCAAGAATACGCTCAAAGAAGAAAAGAGGCGAATGAATTTCATGGTCAGCAGTCATCGGTACCTTTATTATACCCATCCTATACAGCCCATTCGTAATTTGCATCGAATACCAAGCAACCAAGCATGATCTACACTATAGTTTTGGCATTGACCTGTCTATTGAGGAACTTTTGGAAACTTTACCTAGAGGAATTTTATATGCACATCTGGGGCTCGTTTCTCAAAAAGGCCTACGACCGGGCGTAAGCTTAGTCCGGACTAAGTCAGTGACTAAACCCAAAAATCAGACTAAGCAGCGTTTCACAAAAAGGCGCAGACTTAGTCGAGACTAAAGTTAAGCTTAAATCTACGCCTGCTCATGAGTAGGCGTAAGTTCTTTGTCTGTTCACAACTTGAGAAAAGTGGCAAGTGTTTTGATCATAAAGAGATAAAAGAATAATTATTTTGTACGTATACGATTTAATACCTAATATACCTATTCATGTACATATATGATATGCGAAAAATATGTGAAATTTTGAATATTATGTAGGTAAATAGAAATAAGTAAAAATCCAGCGAGGATGCAGACTTTTTTCCGTAAAAAAGGTTTGATGAGCTGGAAATTTGTAAGAATTTTGAATTGTGAAACTGGGTAAGATATTAAGAAGTGCCCGAGTTTTAACAAAAAAAAAAAAGGCACGCGTAGTTTAGGGGTGGGGGCTGCAACCTCCCAGTTTTTCAGGAATGTTTTTTTTTTTTTCTGTTAAAAATTAAGTTGTAATTTAGACTGACCTACACTTTCAGTATTTGTTTTCTCATACTGTCAAACTTTGCTGAATATTTTGGCTAATCAATTTACTGCACCTACCCCCTTCCCCATCTCCTCCACACACTAGTAATTTTTTGTTTTTGAAATGGATAATGTTTTTTGAAAAAAAAAATCTTCAAACAATATACATTTAATATATTTTCGATAATAAGAAATAAGAAATATTCGGTAATTATGCCATCAATTAATTTAATGCACCTTTTACCTTAATTTCCCCATTAAATAAATATAAAATTTATAGAACAGAAAAAATATGAATTTGTAAAATGTTCCAGTAATTAATTATCTTCTCCGTAATGCTGTTTTTTTCCCTATTTCAAATGAACTGTCATGGCGTTTAAGATGTGCAGATGGGTCTATTTTTTTTTAAAATAGGTACATGTTTTTAATTAATTTACAATCTATCGTACTTTTCTCAGAGGATTTTTTTTTTTTGAGAGTGTCTTTTAATCGATTTATGAACAGATAAACACTTTATATTACATGCATTTGAAAAGAAAGTGGTCAATACTGTGTTAAAAATGTTTTTATATTGTAAATGAGAAACATTTACTGCATTTTATAAATCCTCTTTTCCCATAAATCGCATATCAAGGAGAAGAAATTGTGTTTATCTAAAATATTTATGAATATGAAAATCATGACTTGTTAATATCTTTAAATCTAGATAAAATCTTCAGCCAGAATAATCAATTCAAACTGAATTAGATTTCTTGGCATTCAAGCTGCAATATGTATTAAATACATGTATTACACTTTGGACATACATGTACAGTATAACATTGAAATCGATATGACAATTTACACAGTCCATGTAAAAATATGCATATACAACATTTCCATTAGCACATGCATTTTCAATAAAGTTTTGCAAAAGCTTAATTAAATTTTAATCAATTTCTTGTAATCCATATTACAGGCAAGCAATCTAATATTTTTTATAAATTTCTGAAATATTTTCATTTAATATATTTTTAGTCGGGATCAGATTTATTTAGATCGGGAAAGGTACAAATTTCAACATCACCATCTTTTTCTTTTAAGAGATTAATTCAATAATTAATAAACATTTTACAGGTGATTGAAAATTTGACTTATAAGTCTAAGTAGTTTGTTTCATGATCCTGGGACCTGTTATGAAATTATAAATTCAATACAACTGATAAATTTTAAAAAATCTCTTATCCCTGTTTTAATAATATATATATGATTTCATAATTGTTAAATTTTCCACAGATCCGTAGAACTCGGTGGGGCCAGGGGGCCCCGGCCCTCCACTTTTTCTGAGTGTAGTAGTTTGCTATATTAAATTTTCCTTCAGATGCTGGTTGTCCCCCCTCCTCCCCACACACTGTAAGGTCGAGCACTGGCAAATTCCATAATTCTATGACTTGGACAGTTGACTACATGTAGCTTTTGACTTTGCAAATTCCATGACTTGGAGAGTTAATTAGTTTTTTGACTTGGACAGTTAATGAAGTTTTTTTGTCACATTAATTTGGGAGATCCCCCTACCCCCGCAACCCCACTTTTTGGTAGTTTAGGATTTTTGGTGGGCTTGTCAGATTTTTTGGGGAGGGGGTTCTCCCCTCACTTTTGAAACTGTTGCTACGAACCTGTTCCAGGCCTTTCCCACTATAATTATTTTAATGTAAACATAAGTGAAAAGACAATATGGCTTAATTCAAAGGAAAATTACTTCAGTAAAATTCTTCATGCTTATTGAATTCCAATTTTTTGCAAGTACATGTGCTATGTACATCGTTTTGGTTTTAATGTACGATTGTATATCGAAATATCACAATCGAGTACATGAACGTTTATGTTTTTCTATTGTAATTTGTACCTATGTAGATTTTTGAAATTTATCTGAGCATACAAAGATATTTATTTAATTTTAATGCTTTGACCTTGAAAATACGGATAGGTTTGCGTAATATATCTGTTTGAAAGATGTTGAAGAGCGAAAACATGCACGCGTGCTCATGCTTCCCGTGCCTTACTTCTGTATATAGGTTCAAGTTTGATATTACTTTGATCCGCCACATGTAATTGTAGTCTCTAAACCAAATAAAATACGATCTGCGCAGGCTTAGTACTTAGCAGAGAGGTCTTAGTCTTAGGCCTAGTCTTACGCCGCTTTCTGAAACGCGATTTAGTCCCGTCTAAATTTTGGCGTAACTTACCTAGTCGGACTAACTTAGGCCCAAATCTACGACTTTTTGAGAAACGAGCCCCTGAATGTGAGGGGATTTTTAAGTAAACTGGACCAAATCAAAATAATATTACGTAATGGTGCATTTGATGTCCTAGCTTTGACGGAGAGTAAACTGGACAACACAATAGAAAATTCAGAGATATCAATCACAGGTTACAGGATTGTGAGGAGAGACAGAAATCGAAATGGGGGTGGAATATAAGTTTACATAAGAGAAAAGTTTACTGTTACAAACATTAACATTATAGATGATTTGGAAATGCTTGAATTTGTTATCTCTATTGGGCAGTCTACTAAAACATCTTGTGCCATATCCTATCGGCCACAAGATTCCACAGCGGATTGGATGGAGAAATTTGAGGAACGCATTGAACAACTGAGAGGGGGACACAAAAATATAATAGTTATGGGTGATTTTAATGTGGATGAATACAAGACAAACCGTTTAAAAACTACTATGAAAAACCTTGGATTTCGGCAACTAATAAAAAGCGCCACTCGTGAGACAAAAGAATCCAGTACTTTAATCGATCATATATATGTAACTAGTCCTGATAAGTACCCTACTTCAGGAGTTTTACCAATAGGAATAAGTGACCATAACATGATCTACACTGTAAATGGTAAAATTAAAGCTGGTGCAAACAGTCATGTTCACATTAAATATAGAAATTTTAAGAATTTGAATGAAAGCAGTTTTCAAGAAGATCTGAACACCATTGACTGGAGTCCCCTTTATGAAATGGTGGATATTGACTCTATGTGGGAGTTCTTTTACTCTAAATTTTTTGAAATAGTGGACAAACACATGCCTTTAAAAGAAAGAAGAATCAACTCGCAATCAGAAGAATGGATAAATGACGATATACTTACAGAAATGCACTATCGGGAACACCTCTATAAAATGGCAGTACGCACCAATGATGACCATGCATGGAGTCTATACAGGGCATCGAGAAACAGGGTTACGAGAAAGATCAGAGAAGCTAAGCATGCATTTGTCGAAGAAGCAATTACTCAGGCAGAAAACAAGCCCAAAGACATGTGGGACAAACTTAAGCAATTTTTACCATCTAAGAAAAGTAGTACAACCTGTACATTTCTTAAGGAAAATAATATAGTTTTTAAAGATTCAAAAGATATTGCCGAATGTTTTAACAATTATTTTTGTAACATTGGTCACGAGTTAGGAAACATTTTGATGACACTTTACCTACTGTCCAAGAACAAATGCCGCAAAATTCTTTTACAATACCAAATTTAACTACTGAATTTGTTGCAAATGAGATAAAGCACATATCTAAAGCAACAGGTTTGGATGGTATCTCTGTCAAACTTTTAAAACTTTCCTCAAATAGTGTATGTGATGTTCTAACATATATTTTCAATTTTTCTTTATCTTCATGTAAATTTGCAGATGATTGGAAAAAAGCACGTGTTGCACCACTTTTTAAATCAGGGGATGAATGTTTAGTTAACAACTATCGGCCTGTATCTATTTTACCTTGTATCAGCAAAATTTTAGAGCGACACGTTTTTAATTCATTTTATGAGTATCTGTCGGTAAATTCCTTAATAATAGATTGTCAGTCTGGTTTTAGACCCAAACACTCATGTGAAAGTACTCTTATTTCTGTAGTAGATAGATGGCTTAAAAATATTGATGAAGGTAAACTTACAGGTGTACTTTTCATAGACTTAAGGGAAGCATTTGACTCTGTCAATCACAAGGTTTTACTACACAAACTTAAGTCTTTTGGTATATGTAATGATAGTTTTGAATGGTTTAATTCATATTTAACAAATCGTGTACAGAAAGTTATTTGGAAAGGTGATCTATCAGATGAAAAGAATGTAACTATTGGGGTTCCACAAGGCTCTATTTTAGGCCCACTGTTTTTTATCCTGTACATTAATGACTATCCACAAGCACTGAAACACTCTCATGTAAATATGTATGCAGACGATACTTCTCAAGATGTAACAGATAAGTCCGTAGAAAACATAGAATCAAAGATGTGTGAAGACCTGAAACGCAGTATATGTTGGATTGAGCAAAATAAATTAAGCATAAATTTGTCTAAAACTCAATGTATGCTTGTTGGAACGGTACAAAGATTATCAAAATGTCGAAAATTAAATTTAGGTGTAAATAACCATGTTATAGAATGTTCAGGAGTCAAAATTACTTGGTATTATCATTGATGAAACTTTGTCCTGGAAAAGTCATATTGAATCACTTGTATGCAAGATATCCA